AAGCCAAGCCCGCGTTTGTGGCGTGAAACTCGGTCTCTTTCGCTGAGCAAGCAACCGGATGGCTGGAGTCAGTGTTTGAGTCCGGAATGGCTGGAGTCAGTGCTTGAGTCCAGAATGGCGAGTCAGTGCTTGAGTCCAGAATGGCTGGAGTCAGTGCTTGGGTCCAGAATGGCTGGAGTCTAACGCCGATCTACGCGGTCGCCTTATTGGTTTTGGTTTGCCCAATGTCGACGTGATGGCAGCACTTCAATACGTAAACCGCGTTCATGCTGATGCACTATTTTGAGACGGGCTCACGAACGTATTCATCACCGCAACTTGGCCTGGTTGGCACTGAAACACGTGCCAGAGTCGATGTGCGGCCATGTCTGCGCACCAGGCACTCCTGTCTTTAATTTCACGAGCTCTCACGGCATGTTCTGACCACCAGGTCAACGCCGTCCTCTTCGTTTGCATCGTGCTGGTATTGATGCAGAAGCTGAACGCGTCTATCTCCGTGGAAACCCGCCGATACAGGTACAGGTAACTGACCTTTCTACATCTCGAGCCCATGTGCTGTAGATCGCGATGGCAGAGGCCAAGGCTGCGGCCGTCTGCCGGCATGTGACCTGTAACGGTGTGGATGGCTGCTTGGTGTGCACATGCATTATTGAGCTGTCTGAACAGTGCAGCGCGAGAATGTTTGGAGCCACTTCAGTTGGAGCGGGAGGCGACCAGGTCCGAGTGCTTGCATGGTCAAATCACGTAGCTTAGGTCAGGAGATAGTTTGAGTTCATTAACATTGCAATGATTCCAAATCGCTGTGCCAGCTTGGTTTGTGTGTGCATGCCTGATCAAACGAAGAGTAATGTATAATTGCGCATACACAAGTGATGCATTCTGTTTTACATGTAAGCAAGTTGTTGGCAAATTTTCTACGTCACCATCTCCCCTCCAGACACACCTGCATTTTTGAGTCAATGCGCGCGAATCTAGTATATCACATGAGTTGAATAAATTTGGCCGAAGCAAAAACCTTGTATTATTTCATCAGAATGTTATAGTGTTCTTCCTCATTTGTCATGGTAATTATATCACGTCATCGTATCAAATCGCATCACGTTTTTGTGAGCGGTGTGATTTGTGCGCTGCAGTATTTCTACAGTGTTCGTTCCCAGGGCAGCTGCGGGAGCACGGTACTCCAGTGGCGTTACAACGTTGAGGCGCTGCATTGCCATTACCGTTGTGCGCAGCAGGTTGAAGCTATTGAAGACATTAAAGAAATGTCTCTCAATAGCTGTGAAGATATGTTTTCAAACTCTATTAAATGCATTAAAGCAAAGACGACATTTTTACACTTTGAGGAAATAACTATGGTGTTTTTGTTCGAAACGACGTGTGGTTTAAAGGCTGCTCTCCTGCATCAAGCTTATCTTTACTTCCATATTTTGTTTTGTATGGGTACCGAAAAAAACGGATTTGTTTCCCAACTTAGTTTAGCGACATAAGCCGGTGTCACTGCCCCGTCGCTGTGGGTAGATACGAACTAATCTAGTTAAGCCGCGACCACAACAACTTTCGATAACCTCATTCTGGAGATGCGGCGTCAGTACCCCCCCCCCCCCCCCTCCCGCCGTCGGAGGAATAGAGAACGTTATTATGTTATGTCAAACGAGGTAGGTTTGGAACCTAAACTGTCTCACCTGTGCAGTTCCACCGAACCATGCATTCGCAGTCGGACATAATTAGACAAACATGGCTTTTGGTCATAAAATTCGTCTTCGAAAAATTAATCGGAAAGTCCTGTTAAGCCAACATTGTATGGTTCTGTGATTTTATTTTTTTCCCGATTTGAGTCATGGCGCGCTGCAGTTAGGCTGAAACCGAATGCAGCTCTGGCATTCATTTTACAGGAAGAGGGGGTGCTTGGGTGTAATATTGACAAAGCTGGGCACATGTGGATAGGTACCTGTTATACGCCTAGTTAGTTACTCGTTGAAACATTCTAATGTTTCTCGGAGCAGCGTGTAACGGGTGCTCCCATGATCTGCTGGTTGCTGGAAGACCTTGAGTCTTTTGTCAAACGACAATTTTTAAATCTTCCCCAACGAAAATGTCTCACGGACATGGCCAAACGCTGGCGTATAAAGACACTGCCGATCACAACAAAACAAAACAGCGCGTGACCATTTTTTGCGAGGTTATCCATAATGCTAAATGTATTTCCCACGTCATCATGTACTCCACTCGTCATCGGAGAGTCAATAAATTTGACAAACATATTTCCTTAAAGTGTGAGGTACCGTGCGTGAGGTGGTCAAAAATTGATCCTCGCCCTGGTAGGGTGGTGGTCGGTGCGCACGTATACATGCTCAAAATACATCAACTATGTGAACAGGGAAGACGGCTGTTTATCTTTTGTGCCGCTGTAATGTATTGTCTCGCACATATGAGCGTGCATAGCTAAAAAGGTTACAATGCCGAAAATTTGAACTTTTTCCTGGCAAATTGGGGTCAAATGTTGGCTCAGCGGTAAAAAAAATCGTGACATTTAGCTGAGAGCAATCCACTGGTGTTTTCCCTATGCTTCACCTTGCTTACTTAAAAAAAACGGCAGCTGGTCACATCCACCACCCGCATCAGTCCTCGTTATAAAAACAAAACGGCGAATCAGAGTTAGTGTTAATGTTCGTTTTAGTTTTGACAAGGTTTGCTCCAAACCTTTCGATGAGATGGCTTTCTGGAAGCAGTGCCCTGCTCCGTAAGGCACTGCTGCATGAGTCCTGTCCTTTACCATCCGATCGCGAAATTCCCCTGCTTACGGCAGAATTTTGCGAAAGCTAACGTGTCGTTTAAACCAAGTGAGTTACCAGGACGAACCCAATAACCGTGCCGAGAGCTCAGCTGGCTAGAGTGCCTGCCTTTTGATCCACTCACCCGTGGCGGAGTCGCCTCAGGCGCACTCTGTTTGCCTTCGCCAAGTATGGCCTGCGGCCGGTGGCAGCGGCCGCGCTAAAGGTTAGGTGACGTCAGATGGCAGGACGGACCATGCCAGCCATTGCGACGCGTTAAACTTTCGCCAACGAATTTTACCGTTAGCCTAGAATTTCGCGATCGGATGATAAGGGTCAGCACTCACGCAACAAACACTGCTTGCCGTTAGCGCTGATCTCAGAAATTTACCTATTAATATCAAAGACTTGGACTAAATATAAAACAAAAATACAAGTACGAACTTGCGGTTAATCCAGATTACCTCACTAGCCCGGACGAAACTTTTGATTAAAACTGATTAGCGCAGGTTATCTAAGGGGTGTAAATGAAGCCAAAAATTGGTATGCTCATTAACAAGCTAACCTCGATTTCAGATTTCAGTCAGCTTAGCCTGGGTGCGTCAGCTCATGGAAGTGGGTTCTTAAGTTCATAAAGCTGGGAGAGTCTCCGCTGGGCTCAAGCCCATTTCAGGTCCCAAAAGTTTTGCACAGTTGGCTGCTAATTATACCCAAATCGGATATTTTTTGCATTCCTGTGCTTACTTCATAAGTATTCGGGTGTTTCCATATATTCCCGTAATGGTTGGGTGTTACAATTAAGTATCCGAGTGTTTCCGTATATTCCAGTAATGGTTGGGTGTTACAACGTACTTCGAATCCGGATTTTCTGGATAACATTTAGAAAACCATTGTGTGAATGCTCAGCACTGGCCATGGCCTGTTTGGTATCCGTTTTTATACGTATTGCTGCGTAATCACTGGTGCTTCATAATACATTGCGCGATGATATGCACTTTTCATAAACAGAGTGGGTGCCAACATTTTACGAGTGGATTTTGAAAGCAAATTATGACACTGACGTTAGGCTGACAGAATACATTTTGGGATTTTACCAAAGCAAAGTTACTCTACCGGAATACTGAACATAGTCCCATCCCAACATCAAGTGGCATGCTCACCTTTTCGACACTGTTTTGAGGCAAACAGTGTTCTGGTTTTTATCTAGATAGCAACACTCGGAGAGGTTGGATTTCGGACTAACTATGGGTTGCGTCACCCATGCCCACACCAGCAATACCTTGGCCATTTTAAGTCTCATTTTTACAGCCAAGCAACGCTTTAGTGAGAATGCAATAGCAGGAGGTAACAGGTGAAATGTTGTGTAATTCGGGCCGCTATTTTCACAGCCAAGCAATACTTTAGTGAGCATGCTGTAGCATGAGGTACCAGCTCAAATTTCGTGCAATTCTCGCCGCTATTTTCACAACCAAGCAATGCTTTAGTGAGCATGTTGTAGCATGAGGTAACAGCTCATATGTCGTGTAATTCGGGTCGCCATTTTCCGGTATGTGCGGCGATCGTTGCCCGGCTTTGCATCTGTGTGATGAAAGCTGTAGCAGCTATCTAATTTGACACGTAACGGGACGGACCAACGGCTTCAGGATAAACGTGGGGTAATTTCATCACGTACCTGGAAATCATACCGCTTGCCAGCGACGGGGTATGCAGAAAACATTCCAAGCAAATGAAAGCCTACAACGTATTCCGAAAACTTGGCTTACTTCTGACTAAACGTAAAAGCCTTAGCCACAACAGTGGCCTCCAACCTGAGCCTGAGCCTGGACAGCAACATCTGTGCACCTCCATCCTCTCTTCGCTTCTTTTGCCCCTGACTAGGATGGACACGGAACATCTCATGCCGGCGCGTTAACCCACAAGTCATCGCGCACTTTCGCCACGTCAAGCGCCAGTCACATTACACGCGTGCGCGGTGGTGGTATGTTCGTACCGACGCGTGACGCGCCGACAGTGGAGGTACGCGTGTGCTAGCACGTTACACGCGCGCGCGGTGGTGGTGCGTGTGTACCGACACATGACGCGCCGACAGTGGGGGTGCGCGCGTGCCAGCACGTGACACGCGCGCTGGTGGTGTGCACATGCCGACAGGAAGCTGGCGCGCTCCACGCTGGTGCTGATCCCGCTCTTCGGCTTCCACTACGTCTTGTTCGTTGGCTTGTCGGCCTTCATGAACGTCAACCCGATCGTGGAACTCATCTGGCTGTTCGTTGACCAGCTGTTCGCGTCATTCCAGGTGAGGGTTGCCTGCTGTGACTTGACGAGCGCAACGCAGCTGTTCCGTTTGATTCTGAGCTTTGGCGTCAGAATGCTTCTACTGTGTGGTGTCATGGAAACACCGCAGGTATTTCACGCTATTTACCATTGGCTAATAAGTGCTTTGTGTTGTTTTCAAATGTTTTACAAATCGCTGCTTTCTCTAAAATGCAAGAATCCATTGGAATTTGTCATTTCCGCCGGTTAGGGTTGTTAAATGGCGTAAGCAAATAAAGTACAGGCTAAGAGCAGCCTCCACATAGAAAAGTTGTGAAAAAAGAGAAGAGGGAAATAGGAAATGTACATTGTTGTAATCAGGGGAGCTCCACTTCAATGGTCGATAACCCCGTGTACATGGATTGACAACGGATGCCAGATTGTCTCAAGTATTTGGTAAAGCTTGAAAATACATCAAACCTTGGCGACTTGGTTGCAGCACAACCAGAGTCTAGTTCCGATAGTAAAGACATGATGTGTCGATTTGCTCAAATACCTTTGAGTAAATTTCGGACATCTTGCACTTTAGACAGGAGTGGGAAGAGTATGGTCTTTTGGCCAGCATTCGTGCCCGATCATTGTATTTTCTATAGCAGCACAGCTGCTTTCGAAGGATCGGGCTTGCTGCCGTTATGGAAATTTCCACAGATTACAATTTTAGCTTACTTCTACAGTTTTATCTTGCCTCCACGCATATCGGTCACCGGATAGCATAACGGGACTGCAACCTCGACGCTGATTGGCTACCTTCAACGCGGAGTCGAAGCGCAGGCAGACGTGCTTTTCTCAAATCTTGAACCTTGCGAACCCGGGCGGAGTGGGTGGCCTCCTGTGCGGTTGTGGTGCATTTATTCGGTAGTGGTGTTAGAGAAAATCTGAACGCCAGCCCGCCGCCGGCTGGGCCGGCTCGGCGTCCGCCAAGGAGAAGCAGCGTCGGTCGAGCCGTGTCGGCGTCGGCGTCGGCGACGGCGACGGTGATGGTGACGAGGCGGACAGAACAAAAGCGATGTAGATACACAGTTCCGGCGGGTGCGACGGAAACAGAGGGCAGAAGAGACATTTAACAACAGTTAGAAATCACTAATAAGGCGAATGGTTAAACTTAACACAACTGGCCGAAACGGCATGGATATACAGCGGAGCGAGTTGCCGGGTCTTAATTATACCACGCACTGCTTATTTGGCCTTAACACAGCTGGCCCAGATTTTGACCACATTCAAAAAGGCAAATATAGGATACAAAATTTAACTCAGCTGCGAAATTTTTGAGCCGTATATGGATACTGATGACCAGAAACACACGCAACAACAGCGCAAGCATTGCCTGCAGCGTGTACTCAAACAGCGTCAACCGTCGTTAGTTGTTGAAACGATCTGATAGTTGAAAAACCGCTGGTACGCCTCGCTCGATCCCAGAGCGCATCCCTTCCCACCGGGCACGTCACGAACGCTGGCCGTCGCCGCGCTGGCCGGGGCGCAGCGCCTGCAGTGCGAGGCGCGCCTGAAGCGCGAAGCGTGCCTGCAGCGCGAGGCGTGCCTGCAGTGCGAGGCGTACCTGCAGCGCGAAGCGCGCCTGTAGCGCAAACGTGCCTGCAGGGCGAGGCATGCCTGCAGCGCAAGGCGTGCCTGCAGCGCGAGGCGTGCCTGCAGCGCGAGGCGTGCCTGCACCGCGAGGCGTGCCCGCAGAGGCCGCCGGCCATACAGGCGACTGGTCCGTTCCGCGTCGGTCGCAGGACCCTCGCCGGAGACCTCCCAAAGCTCGAGTGGCACGAGCAGCGCCTGCTCCGTGGGCACTGTGGGCAGACTCTGGAGCAGGGCCTGCAGCGGGTGGCCGCGCCCGGCCGGTAGCCATGCGCACACGCGAGCCGGGGCCCGTTGATGGCCGCTGCCAGTCGCTCGGTCGACAGAGCGGCTGGTGTCGCCACGGCCGCCTCCATGGCGCAGGACAGGGCCGACCCAGTTTCGGGGCTGTTCGTCACATGCCGTTCAGGTGTCTATGCGGATGTCATGCTCGCGCCGGACGAGCTCCGCGACGCGACAGAAACTTGCAGTTCCAGGCGTAGGGCGCTAATCTACCGGACGGCAGCGGTCAGTTCCAGGCGTAGGGCGCTAATCTACCGGACGGCAGCGGTCCGTTTTTCCGCCATGACGACCGACGTGTTGAGCTCCCCACCCTCGTACTCCAGCCGGAAGTAGGCGGCCGCGCCGGCCGCCAGCTCAGATGCGTCGCCGAATTCCGGCAGCTGTTTGTCCGTCGGGAGTTCCGTCGGTTCGGCGGCACCGGTCGACCTTGAAGTGACCCAGTCTGGGAAGAACGCTGATCGACAGCCGCAAGACAGCCGTCAGTTTATGGCCTGCGATTGTCGCGTGCCACTCGCACCCGCACCGCTAGATGGCCTGCAATGTGGCGGCTTCGTTGACGTTTTCCAGCAAGTTCAGATCATCGTCTACGTAGACTCGCGAGTGCACGGCTGAGGCTGCTGCCGGACAAGCTCAGCAGGTCTTCGGCGCACTGCCGCGGGGCGTTATCGGTCGAGCAGAGAGATGGAGTCGTTCAAAGGACCAACGCCTGCATTTGATGATGTCGGGCGGCTTCTCTCGGGTCGTCCACCTCACCGCAGGGGTCGTAGAGCAGGCTGAGGGAGCGGCGTCAGGACTCCGACGGGACTCAGTCAGGTTCGGTCCCGGCGGAGGACTGTCGTCGAGCGGCGCACCGCCGTAACGCGCCGCAGCGCCGCCAGTCCCGGCGGAGGACCGTTCGTCCGAGCGGCCGCACCGCCGTAACGCGCCGCAGCGCCGCCAGTCCCCGGCGGAGGGACCGTCGTCCGAGCGGCGTACCGTCGTAATGCGCCGCAGCGCCGCCAGTCCCGGCGGAGGACTGTCCGTCGAGCGGCGCAGCACCGCCGTAACGCGCCGCAGCGCCGCCCGTCCCGGCGGAGGACCGTCGTCGAGCGGCGCACCGCCTTAACGCGCCGCAGCGCCGCCAGTGCCGGCGCGCTCGTCGGTCCGCTGTGGCTTCCGAGTCCTCGGTCACTCGGGGGCAGTTACGTACTGTGGCCTCATGAAGTGCCCGGGAGGCTTTCGTGCCACCAGACCGACCGCGGCGAGTTATCACGGCCCAGGGAGCGCCGGGAGGGTCACTGTCGCGCGTGTGGAGGTGCAATGGGATGGATTGCAATCGTTTGCGATGGGCAAGTCAACTGCCTTTGACGTGACCTCTGCCAAGTTGAGGTCAACAGCTTGAGGTCACTTCCGCTCCTTCGTCGTCTACTTTTCGCTGGCCCAGACACGTTGATGCCTGACGTTGTGCGGACGCCACTGATGGGAAGATTTCGTTCCGCTTCTGTGGTTGCATATGCAGCTTGGCGCATTTGGAGACGTACCCTGAGCGACCAGCAATGGTGCCCAGACGCAGGGGCCCGGTGCGGCCCTGTAGCCCCAGGTCCGACGTCAGCTCCTCGGTGACCGCGGACACCTCTCTGCCGAGGTCCAGCACGGCGCAGGTGGCACGCTGTGCGGACCATCTGCCGCCCGCGGTCCTCAAGGGCCACGGACGGTCAGCGGCAATTATTTGCAGCATGGCGCTGGTGCTGGTTGGCTGCGCACATGGTGCCGACGTGTGTAGGGCTATCCTCTGCTGGGTCTGGCACACACCGGCCAACTGAGGCGAGAACATCCGCGGGACTCCTTGAAACATTGGATGACGTCCCTCTTAGAGCCGCGGTTGTCGCCTCGTGCGGCCTTTTAAACAGGCAGCGCGCGCCACTTGTCCGTCAGCCGGGCAGACCCGGCACGGTCTATGGTGTGGCACTGCCTCGGGGCGACCGCCGACGCTGGCCCCTACAGACGGGCAGTCAAACGCTGTGTGTGCTTGGTCGAACTTCGCACATATCCGCCCCGTTTGTCCGCGCCGCTGGGGTCCTGCTGCGACCGTCACCGTAGACGCACTGTGCGTGCGTCGGTCGCGTGACCGTGACATAGGCTGGTCCTTGTACTTGTGGAGGTCGTCCAGTCCCGAAAAGTCGACGGCACGTGCTGCGTCAACGCGGCCAGGTGTTCAGTTCGGGAAGCGTCGGCCGCGCGGGCCAGCTGCTGACCACCTGCTCGCACCAGCGCGCCAGCCCACGCCGTGGGAGCTTGGAGTACGTTTCATCGAAACTTTTCAGTTTAACCTCCGGTGTTCCGGGCAGTTTTTAGCACAGTACCGCGTATTAGGTGACGGGACGGGAGAGCCTGAGTAACTGGAATGCTTGAAATGTTCGTGTAATGTCCTTGAACTGTGATGTTCGTGGTAAGAAATTTTCCAAACTTATACAACCCATATAGCCTAAAACCGGCTTGCATGCAACTAAAAGCTGCCGCATATCGCAAACTATTTTTGTTGTCCCGCTCCTGTCACACCTCTTCCAAACCATGACCAATATTTGCAGGCTGGCTTAGCCTGGAAAAAGAGTTCGAATGTCAAAAACATGTACGGTACTTACGAGTATTATGTGGGACAAGATTAACGCAAAACTAATAGCAGTGTATGTCGAAACCTAGCGTACTGGTGTCAGGGAAAATTTTCTGCATTTTCGTGAACGCCACGCATCTAGAATCAGTTTACAGCATGCCCTCTTTGCACCATCTGTTGGTAGCCCGCGGTCGCGTTTTGATCTAAATGCGCATCATTGGAATTCTAAACCAGGTTTCATAATCGCTGGACAAATCTGGCCGAAAATTCTTGTCATCTCCGATGGCTTCAATAATTGCATCAGTACCATTTTCACACTCGTAGGACATAGCTACCGAAAGAAGGCTGTTTCCAGCTATAGCCAATGTCAACAAAAATAACCTCACCGGGCGTAAGCTTTGGCCTTTCAGAAACGACGATGATGCGACGTAGGGTCGACAAAGCCTTGGCTTAGCTGGATCTGAGGCATGGGGATGTCTGGCTTTCCCTTCGGCTTAAGTCTGCCGTGTCCTCGCGGGATATCTCGTCCGTGTTCCACGCCGTATTGGCAATCTCTGGTCAGCGGAAAATCGGTATTTTCAAATTCACAGCTCCTGTCTTGTATTGAAACATCCCGCATGTGTTCCAGCGTCGGGCACTGGATCCATATGGTGATGTAAACTTTTGCTTGAATGTTTCCCGACATTTTGACATTTTCAAGAAATTGGTGTCATCGAAGGCTCACATTTACCTGATGGGACTGGAACAGGCCGGACGGGGCGTGCAAGCGCGGGGCCGGCCACCGACATCAACTTGGCGTCCTGTCGCCTCGCGTCCGCACATCTTGCAGGTCCCGCAGCTGCGGTATGAATCAGGGAGAGGAACGCTGAAGCATGGTGAGAATGAACAAAAAAACCGGTTTTTACGGTCTTCTTGACACCAGAAATCTGTTTTAATGGAGTCTTTTTTGGATGAGTTTCAGCCAGTTTTCCTGATCAGCCCATCCCTACTTTTTTGTGAAAATGCAGCCCTGTGTGGAACATACTGGATATCACTAATGACCGGAACGAAACTGTGAAATATGCTGTAATGGTTATTGTCTCCCATCATGACCTGAACAGCGCACACTTCTAAAAGGCAAGGCACGCGTCGCGATTACTTCCCACCTTTGCCTGGTGTGTCCAGATATTCGTGGCATTACTGAATGCTTAGTCTTCTGCGTTTTATGATTATGGCAATGATATTTTTTAGATTTAATGCCAGCCGAACCGTAGACAGAGGTATGACCAATGTTAATAGCAGTGCTGAATCAGTTCCTACGCTCCATATTCTATATTTTTGCCCAGAACTTCCGCCCATTAGCTCCGAACTTCCACTTTCCAAGCTAAGTACGCGTGAAGAATTAACTTTCCACGCTGAGGTCCAGGTGCTCTTCGGATCCAAAGTTAAGTCCGGCAAAATGATCCCGAGAGGAGATTCCCAAATGAATGCACCATGCTTCGGCCAAGATGGATGATGTGAAAAACTTAGCAGCAACTTTCAACTTTTTGGTTCCGCCGGAACTCAAAGCCATTGCCGCAAACTGGGGTTCTGGCGGCTGCGAACATTATCAAATGAAGGTCGTCGTTTGCGCTGTCAGGCAAATTAACAAGTAATGAGAAGTAAGTAAGCAAGTTAACTGGGTAACTTCAAAAGTCAGTGTTGCAGGTTACAGGACGCCCCATGTTCATTTGGGATTATTGTGCCCGTAGTCATAAGAATTTTGGAGAGATTCTGACAGCCAACCGGCGCTGTTTGGAAAATGGCCTCGTCAAGTGGTTCGTGCGCATTTTCACAGCCTTCATATGCATTTGCGCAGTTCCGTCACCACCTTGTAACCCCACACAGGCAGAAAGTGAGACTGAATAGACCCGTCACCTTTTTGGCCAACTTTTTGTTCTATCTATCATGGGGCGTCCTTTGACCTGCAACACCGGCTATTGCGCGTTTGAACGGCGTTGAATCGATCTCGTCCGATCGGCGCCTGTTTGGTGACGGCGACGGATACATTAAATATTGCCCACAGATTCCGCCTCAGGAGCAGCGCCCAGCGCCAGACACGCAGTGTTCAGCAGCTACGCCATGGATTCCGCTCAGGGCTGCTTCGTGGCCATCCTGTACTGCTTCATGAGTTCCGAGGTCAAGCTGGAGCTGAAGAAGCACTGGGCGATCGTGGCGCTACGCCAACATGGGCGTGCTCCACCAACTCCGGCCGCAGCCGCTCCAACCACGGCAAGAGCTACAGGTAACCCGGAAAGGTCGCGGTCACCGCTCCGGCGTGATGTGGCACCTTCGGTCACGCCGCAGCCAAGGGCCCGGCTCCTGCGGCCGCTCCCCGTAAAGCGCTCCCTGCTCGTGGACCTATTGATCAGTCCCGCAAAGCGGTCCGATCCTGCCGCTTCCGGCGAAGCTGGCCGGTCGCGCCCCCGAGCCGAGTTCCCAGAGGACGCCGCCATTCCAGCTCGGTCTGTGATGTACGACCGTATTAGATTCGCAGCGGTCCCAGAGGGCTCGCACCTCACCGCTTCCGGAGGCCACACAAACTGTTTATTGTGATGAATGGCTGGAGGAGGCCACCTTACCAATTCCTGGTGTGGTGAGACGTTCTGGCCTCGAGCTTTTCGATGAAATTTAGTGGTACGCGGACGCGTCATAAGTTTACACCAGCGCTCGCCTACATCAGCAGGACATTAAACCGGTGCACATCCAAATGTGCTTGGGGACGCTGTTCCACAGGTGCTCACTATGGCATAGCCGCATATTGCCGCATATGAAGTGTCTAGCGGCGAATTGATGTGCCCAGTGCGTTAAATGGTGTTCTCCGTGATAATCTCGCCAGCCCTGTCTCAAAAAGTCAGCATTCGGAAGCCGTGCTAGGTGGGCGGCGTGGCGCTGACCGTGTCTGTTTGCCGCTAGAAGTATGGGCAGGAGCTCTGTGCAGAGCACTACTCTGATGGATAGGCCGTCGGAGACCGGACAGAGTCGCACACGTCCCCCGCTCGTCAGGTCTGTCACCGACAGGAGCTCACCGCGTCAGGTGAGGCGCCCTGACCTGACCTCACCTGATTTGACTCGACCCGACCCCTACCCGGCCCTGCCTGACCTGACCATATCCGATCTGACCCGATCTGGCCCCGGCGTCAGCTGGCCTGACCTAGTTTGATCCATCGCGACCTGACCTGGACAGGGTAGCGCAACCTGACGCGAAGTGATCGGACTTAAAGTGACCAACTTGACCTGATTTGACCCGAAGATAGTACTAGGGAAGCTTTTCAAACAACGAACGTAAGCTGTGTGCGTGAGAAAGAACGAGAGAGAGAGAGAGAGGGGGGAGAAAGAAAGAAAGATAGAGATAGAGAGAGAGGACGAGAGAGGGGAGAGAGAGAGGGAGGGAAAGAGCGCGCTGCTTGTTATAATGTAGGCTGTGTTGGAGACATAGTATGTACGCCTTTATATGCTGAACGATCGGAGACCGAAGCTCCTCTTCTGAGGTAGACAGAAAATGCGTTATTTGAACACTCATAGTTCTCCATGTGCGGGTAGAATTATGCCAAGAATCCGCCCTCAGCTCATGTGGGATTGGGTACCATGTGCCAATCCTGTTTATCATAGTTGGAGGTTGATGGAGCTGGCCTGTTTACCTACCAAGATACCAGCTGGTGAGAAGCTTAATGGAAAGTTATTTCAGAGTGGGAAAGCTGAAAAAATGGTACATGTTTCCGTGATCAAATTCAGAATCTCTGCCCGGTATGCATCTAACACTGGGTGGTTCAGGAAGGCATGACTGCTAACGAGTGGTCCAGAAGGGAATGCTTTATATATATATATATATATATATATATATATATATATATATTGGGGGCATCGGGTGTACATATATATATATTATATATATATATATATATATATATATATATATATATACCCAATGCTGTGTTGTTTGGGAGAGGACGTCTGTTGTGTGGCCGTGAAGAGTACCGATAGTGTTGTGTGCCTGAGGGGTAAGCATGGTGTTGTGTGGCTCTGTCGCGGATGCCTGACATCGCGTGGCTCCAGTGAGCAGGCCTGGGTGCTTGTATGGATCTGGAAACGTCGGTCCTACTGTGCCTTTCAACAGAGTACAGATGTTGCCGCGCTCTTCGGAAAAGCACGCGCAGTGTCGTGTCAATCGAAACAAAACGTCTTCCGCTGTCTACGTACAGCTCGGGTACGGTTTGTTGGAGACGGTTGGAAATATACGTCACACATGAAATACTCCATTTCAAACATGCACTACGTTGAAGACCTGTCTAACTCGACTGTCGTGTTAAGTATTTGTCGCAATTTTTGCGCGTACTTTTTGGCCTCGCTACGCTTTATCGGCGTTGCTACTTTCCATGCTGATGTTCTTCACTAGTTGAGGCTCTCGACTACAGCATCCCTCATTCACAAATAGCGGCTCCTGCTGCAGGGTCCGATCGGACTTCAGCCACCTCCGCCATTAGCGTCTTTGCAAAGGCAATTTAACAGCTGCCGCCCACGCGTTGGCTGTAACAAACTCTCGGCTGGAACTCGCCATCTTTCACCGATCAAGGCGTGAACATTCATCACATTAGGAGCTGAACAATTAACTATAATGATGAAAAACCCGTGGGGTCCCCGGTTCTCGTCTTATCAGTCTTCGATTCTGTGCTACTTTGCGTTGACAAACCAACCTGTTGCGTGAATCGCGCTTTTTACTCTCGAGAGCGCCCCGCCGTTTAAAGATTGCTCGCAACGGTCGAATACATGAGCGACAATCATTCAGTTAGGAGCTTGAGTGAGACCACCCACGCGAGGTGAAACTTGGTTGTACTCCTTGCAGAAAGCACATGCTAATTGTAAATAATATGAGACGATGCCCTGGATCCCACCTGTTACACATTTGATTTGTGACAACGATGTTAGGGACGTCGGTACAGGAGCGCCTATGGATGGAACGCGTGACAGTTTGCCGCAAAGACGAATGCAAAGAACAACTCTCGACAACTCTGGAAATACGATGCATATCGGCAGCTGAGCAATATTCAGCTGCCTGCTCCTGCGCTTCAGCTACACATTCCCACAGCCCTCCGCGAACCTTGCGGGGAGCGCGTCTCTGAGCGTGCGGCAGAGGTAGGTCACCGCGGCAGGGCGCATCGGGTGGCCCGGGGCGTTTCCAGCCGGGGTCCTGGCGCCGTCCTCCGCGGTTTGCCGAGTCGTCACTCAATGTCGGCCCCGGCGCGCCAGGGAGGGGCGATGTGTGCTCGGCAGGCGGCGATGTGTGCGGCTCGTCTTTCTCGGGGGCAAGGCGAGCCGCGACTGCGCCGCTCCGCTTCCGGCTCGGCCTCGGCTCGGTTCTTCGGACTCGTAATCGCCTATTGGGCGGCAGGAAAGGATTGGGACGGGATGGGATACCTCTGGTCGATGGAATGTGTCAGAGCAGCCTTTGTCCACTGCCAAGGTTTCCCTTCAGCTGGTGCTTAACTGGGCCCAGAGTAAACTCGAAATGGTAGCCGAAGGAGTTGGAGTATGGAATTGCGACCGCATGAAGGCTTCTCTTGTCCATTGCGAATTCGATTGACGAGAATGAAATGTTGGTTTACTGGAAGCGGAAGCTAAAAAAATAGCATTATCGTCGACCATGACGCATGCTCCCACGGTCGGCACTCACAGTTAACGGTGCAACTGTACGCCCAGAACCATCGCTTTCTTACAATAAACTTGCGAATTTTACCATTGCTTACACGTGTTGTAGAGCATTCGCAGAGCTGAGGACCAATTCCAGAGAGGACGAACTATTATGGATTTAGAGAACTGTAGCAGATTAGTTTCCCGCCTGTCTCGTGCTAAATCAAGATGCATTAACGTTCACTTCCTGGAAATGACTGAAAAGCAATTAGCCGTGCGATTGAGCGATTAGGCTTTTTAGCCAGGGGTGACGCCTCACACACCCTCCGGACATTTCCTCTGGGACAAACCAGGCATGACAGGAGGATAGAACGCTTCACGGATCCGATTAATTCCGTTGATGGCGGACGGGCGTTGATCGGGACGGAGATCTGCTTTGTTGTACGAGTGTTTTTGTCTGATGACGCAGCCGTTGTCATTTATGGAGCGTGTCGTGATTTAATATAACACTATGTATTTATATATATATATATATATATATATACATATATATATATACATATATATATATATATATACATATATATATATATATACATATATATATATACATATATATATACATATATATATATCTATATATATATATATATATATATATATATATACCCACTTCTAATGTGTAATTTTATGTTAGTTTCTTGCAACAAAAACTTGGAAATTATACCAATGCATGGGCAGAGTGTTGAGCAGCCGTGAAGCTGGTCGCGAAGCCCGCTCCCGAAAGGTGCCGTGAAGCTAGTAATCGTAGGCAGATACGCTTGCATGATAATGATTCAGGCTGGTGTCAGGCAAGATGTCGCCAAGACACTCAGACTATCATGCCGTGCAGTGAACACAGGAGGAGGTTTTCGCAGGGAAGAGTTTTCAATGCCGAGTAGTGCTCGGGCCGATCCTCGCGGATCAGCCGGATAGTGAAAATAGTGTGTGCCTAAACTGCACTGAAGCGAAATCCAACGCGTTGAGATTGTTGGTAAAAGTTCGCGCAAGGGGTACACGATGCTTGACACGACTGCTTAGCGTCACCGGAAACTCCTAATCAACCTCACGCATACAAAATGGCCAAAAAGGCAGCATTTGCCGAAAGTACCATGAAAAAAGAAAAAAAGAATTGCAGTCGGAACGACTTTAATAGAAACGTTTGGAAAAACGAGTTCACGTCACTTCACGTCAAGTTGCTTTAAACGCTGTCACTTCACCTCAAATCACGTCAAACGCTGTCACTTCACTTCAAGTCACGTCAAACTCTATCACTTCACATCAAGTCACGTCAACCGCTTGTCACTCTACGTCTAATCACGCCAAACACTGTCACTTCATGTCGAGTCACGTAAAATGTTGTCACGTTACGAAACGGACATTGAGCATGGGCCACCGCAAACAAGAAAAGCATGGGTCACATGGTTATTTGTTTAATTACCTTGTTATTTTCTTTTATCGCCAACAGAGCAGCATTCCACTAACAGGCGAAGTCGTTTAAATTAAGATACAATACACACAATGCAATACGTACAGTACAATATAGATATACAAATACAATACAATACAATACGCACAGTACACAGTCGTATGAACATAAATGTAGGATGGCATATCCCAAAGCTAAGTGAAGATGCTACAGAGTTAAAGCATCGTTTAAAAGCGTAAAGCGTCGTGATCGTTTAAAATCTAAAAATGGCAAAATTATCATGACATTTATCCGCACTAGTGTTCCCAACGTTTGGCAGTCTCCAAAAAAGACCGCTATGTACTGTCCGCACACAGGCGCGGGGTACAACGAGCAGAGTTCGGGTGCGGGCCGATCGAGGCGGTACAAGCAAGGGAAACAGCTAAGCAAGATTTGAGAGCTCAGTTTACCTTGGAAGATGTTTCTCAGAAAGAGCAAATCGTGCTGCACTCTTCGTGCTGCTATGGATGCGATTTTGCAATTCAGTTGACGGCTGTCATAAGAGAAGTTGTTTGCCTGGAGAATGTGTGAATAAGTAACCGAATAAGACACTTGGGCTGCACCCGATCGACCTGCACTATGTGAGAATTGGCTGCCTCCGTCCAGACCACGTTACAATAAATCGCACGTTTGCAAAATACGCAGCCATCACTGTGCTTCGGTTGAATTTTGACCTGCCGGTACTGACTTGGGTAAGAAACATAAGGAGCGAAGGTTAATTTTGTATCCAGCGTTATGCCAAGGTCCACAATTTTGGCACATACGTTCAAGCTCAGTTCTATCGATAAAATACTTGGCTTGGACGGGAAGCACGCCTGAGGGTCACCGTGAATGTTTTACATTTAAGAGGGCCAAGGGTCATCCCCCATCTGACCGACCACGCCACTAGATGATCGACATCATTCCAAGGGTCAGCGCCCATCTGACCGACCACGCCAACGCATGATCGACATCATTACGCAGTAGCAGGCCTTCATGTCGGTCGGCATATTCATGCAAGATGGCGCGCCCGCTCACACAGGCTGAAAGAGCCCATGAGTGGCGCCGCGCCCGCCCGCCGAACATATCCTCTAGGACAACAAAGCCATGGCCGGGCTAAAGCTCTTCGCGGATTGGATCAATCGGCGGTGGCGGACGGATGCGTCCGGCGGATTAGGCCGGGCGAGAAAACTTGGGCGGCGGGCACACAGATTAGGACCGGACTGGTTATTGAGAGGTTGTCAGGTTGAGCAGATCTAACGGATTGAAGGCTTGTTTAAAAGCACGAGGTGCTTACTGGTTTTATCATTCTCCCTGGCAACAAACCTACGATAGAAGCTTTAGTTCTACAAGATGCTGGATTCAAGCATGGGTAATTTCAAAGCAACCCAGATTATTGATGTAAGCATGTCACTGAGTGGAATATCCAACAAAAGAGGGCGTTTGACAATGAATGCTATTTAATAGGTACTTGCCAGTTTATCACCTCGGTGCCATGAAGGTGGCGGCGTGGACAGTGACTGCTTGCTAGTAATATGCCTGATACGCATTGTGAAAGCGTCATGCACAGCTTTATGATTACCGATCTGGTTCGTGGCAACAGGTAGAATTTTATTATTCATATTCTTTATCAACATTCACCCAGCGATGCCGAAAACGCCTGTACAGGTTCGCAACCATTTCAGTATGTTGTTTTGGTATACTGTTATCGACACCAGTGAACCTTGCATAGTGCTACGCGGTCCAACTGACATCAATGGGATCTCTCTATGCTACTGAATCACTTCCATAGGTTACCTACTACGAAAGACAGGAGAAACGAAAATACAAGCAGCCTATCCCCACTTCAGTTAAAGACAAGCCCGAGCTCTCCAATAACTTCCGATTGCCAAAATCCTTGACTAATATCAACGCGACATCATAGAGGTGCACGTAGATAAAATGTGATATTTTTCTACTGCACGTCCCACACATATCGTTATACATTGTGCCCGTACTGTTCTCTTGTTGCCTTCGACAATACACTTGACCAAGCCACGTGTCAAACTATCCCTGAGCCGCTTAGTGCGTTGAGGTCATACCTGCCGTGTTTTTTTAAAGCACAGCTACCCCAAGAGACCTACAATCTGTCCCCCCCCCCCCACATCGATTTTCTATTATAACGAATCATCTCTGAATGATGCGAAGACCTGTCTTTATGTTATTACCTATGATTCGTTTTATTTAAGCATTCTGCGGATTTTAAAAGAATAAAAAGCAGTGTTATAGCCGTCGGTAGTACCAATGGCCTGATTCCTCGTTGAATAACTAGGACAACAAGTTTTTTAAGCTGTTGGATATATGTAATGCCCGTTCTACCACTGACGTGGAATTTCGCGATCGGATGACATGGGTCAGGGCTCACGCAACAAGCACTGCTTAGCGTGAGCTCTGGTCCCAGTCTTATCTATTTTCCAATTAAATCCTTTTAATTATTTCCTCGGTTCGGATTAAACCTGCATAAAAATGTGTTGTAAGAATGATGCATTTTGCAGTCCAGGTATTTGTGACTTTTGGTTGATGTGAAGATCTCTGTCATTTGACATTGGGTATCACCTCGAAAGGTTATCTTCAGAGGTCAGGTTTTTGGTCAGAGGTTTTTGAAAGGTGCTTCTGTCTACGCTGAAAAAGATTCTGATGCTTAAAAATCCGAAATCAGCCGTAAATTATGGGTGATATGGTCTTCCCTGTCATCTGATATTCAAGAGCGACCTGGAAAGGTCAGTATTTGTTGACAGATTCTGGTTTACGCTCTGAAGATCAATCTGACGTTTATCAGCTGATGATTTTTTATGACATATAGTTCCCTGGTATTTAACCATGAAGAGTGACCTCGAGACATGAGAAATACCGAAGGACGCTGGTTTGTATGCGGATGAATATTGTGATGCTTAAAATCCCAAGTCAACCGGTAACTCTTGCGTGACGTGGAGAGCCCCATTCGAGACAAGCTAGCTCATTCGCTGAAATCGTTCAGTAGTCTTTGTGCGATGCTAAATTTCCCTTCTATGACCTTGCATTTGACCTTTAAAGGATGGTCTTGAGGGGCGATGACTTCTTTCGGACGCTGTTTTAGGCGCTGAGCACGATTATAGTCCTTAAAAATCCGAAAATAGCCGCTTTCTTTTGGGTGATATAGATTTGGGTGAAAATGATTTATTAAGTTGGCTATGAATCTGATCTTGAAGAGAAAAGTGTCATTGAAAGGTCAAGACTATTCGACGGATGCTATACCATGCATAAGTTAAAATTCTTATGCTTAAAATCCGAAATTTTCCGATAACTTTCGGGTAATATGGACGTCCTCGGCACTCGACCTTGATTTTGACCTTGATGTTAGGGCTCAAGACGATTATGATGCCTATCGGCCGACAAATTTGGTTGAGATGGAGTTCGCTGTCCCTTGACCTTGAATGGTGACACTGAAAGGTCGGGAATTTTGACGGACGTCGGTTTATGCGTTGATGAATATTCTGATGCATACAAATCTGAAACCAGCACAAAACTTTGTGGTGATATGTAGATTGCATTTCGGTCTGAAATTTTACAATAAGGGGGTGATCTCGAGAGGACAGGACGTTTTTAGGGGTCTCTGGTTTTGTTTTTTTTTTGCTAGGTTTTGCGCTTAAGACGGTTCCGGTGCTCAGAAATCTGGAATCAGCCGGTGACTTTTTTAGTGATATGGAGTTGGCCATCACTTGCCCCTAAATTTACCCTTAAGTGTTTTCCGGGGAGGTGAGAGCTTTTTAAGCCGCTCTTTTGTCGCTGAAGATGATTCTGATGTCAAACCTTTCGGAGGCGAATTAGCCGAAGACAATTCTGGTACTTAAAAGATCTGAAATAGGCTGATAATTTTTGGGCGGCATTGAGTGCCTGGTCATTTTAACGCTAAATTTGACCCTGGAGGCCACGTGCTGTTGAATATTGAATGTCATATACAGTGCCCTCGTGCCGTTTTTAATTATCTGGCGTGTTTTCATCGAAATCTGAACACATAACTAAATAAATTGCTTATTTCACGGACGTACATAACCCCACCTTCTCTCGCTCAACCGAGTCATAAAACTCCTCATGTGAAAGAGTATGTACACCCCGCTATCTGACGAGACAGAGACACAGAGGCGCCCTACCAAACGTGTCCCACCTGTTGCCGCAGCTCAGCGTGGCCGAGCCCATCAAGGAGGTCAGCTGGGAGGAGTCCCGGGCGCCAGCCGACATCGCCCCGCCGGCCGTGGTGGAGGCGCCGCCGCAGTCGGCCGCCCTGCTCGTGCGCTACGACGGTCTCAGCGGCGGCTCGGTCCACATCGAGGCCGCACCGCTGAACGGCACCAGCGATGGCAGCCCGCCGCGAGCCTGAGCGCGCCAGGCTCGCGGCGGGCGCGCCACAATTGTGCCGTCCGTCGGCCTTTGACGTGCGATGTGACGCATATCCTAGCGTGGTGTTTGGTGTTATTGACTTCTTTTGCTGGCAGCGAAGACGCATGACATGTTTTGCAGTGATTCTGTTGTTGCTTGCTGGCCCGGCCCGTGGGCAGCGCTTGTTTCAGGAAGTGGATGCCCAACCCGAACTGAGTCCTTAAAAACCAGTCTTTTAGGTCCCTGTCCATGGTTGTGTCCATCGTGTGTGGCACTGGAAGAGTTATGTCAAGAACTCTTTATGACTAGGATCGTCTTAATCTAATCCCTATAAACTTCTTGACCCAACCCGCCACCCTAGGTTATACCGTTCGCGATCAGCTTCCTATCAGTCATAACCACCTTTTACCACCAGCTTACTGGATCCTGAGGCTTTAGATTAAGCTATAGAAGAAGTGACGGAGGCTCTGTATTTGGATTCAGTCGCTTTACCTTGCCCCCCTAGATTCAGAGATTGCAGGATTCATAGATTCACTTCTTCGGCTCTTCATAACAAACGACTGGTGTTCTCCACCTAGAGACCGTCGCGGTTCTGGTTTCCTGTAACCAATCCACCCATACTCATGGGATTGTCCGTACCCACTTGCTGCCCATTCGCGATGAATAGGAGCAGCCCCTTACACACCCGTTTGCGCTTCTCCACCACTTAGTTTTAAATTATGGAGGAGATTCAGGAAAGGCTATACCCAAACCTATCCACATCCAAACTACCCAAACTGCAGTAATGGAAAAAGTTGCGTGAATCCAGGAAGTTATGTCCAAAAGAAGAGAAAACCAGTGCCAAGGTGTATATTTTCTTGAACTACCGATCCGACAAGTAACGTCTCACCCATCCCACAACTGTAATTTTCCCAAAAACTGTACCCAACCTCAACCCGTTAGGCAGTCCATATGGGTACCCATGGGTTTCCCCAACCAGGTAAGTTTTCTACCTTCACCCTTGGTATAGGCTCTCTTGGTATAGGCTTGGTATAGGCTCTCTAGTTGTCTTCCAAGCCGACACAAAATTACGGCCGGGCTTTTCCAAAGAATGGTGATTGTTGTTGACCTACGAATGCGTCATGTCATGAACATTCATTGATATGAAAGTCCAGTCATGGTAATTCGTAATAGGGACTTTTTAAAAAAAACTGTCAATATTTTTTGTCACTGAATGTTGACGGTAATCAGAAGCCGGCTTCAAGTGAGAATGTGTATTTCTCTTGTCTTCGTATTCGGAAGGTTCTGTAAGCACCGTGTTAGTGAAGGTCACGTAAGATTCAAAAGCAGAGCAAGGAACATTGAAATTTAAGAATAAATTCCTGGTTCAATTGAATAGAAGACCGTATAATTTTGACACTACTGTTGTTGTCCTTTCCTATACTCCGGCTGTGCAGAGCCGCATTGTGCTGGGGCCTCGTACGTAAATGCTGCACAATGCGTTCCTGCATTGCCGGTGTATGGAAAAAAGGAGCACCTGGCATTAGCGTCGTACTATGTCGTACTATAATACCCCAATACGGACGTGGCACAAAGTGTCGGTACCAAAGGAAACCATGCAACACGTAACCGCTGTGGAGCTCAACGTTGGGTTCGGTTTCGGTATTTTAATATTCAGGTAGATATATTTAAATATTGTATGGAAATGTCTGGGTCCTTGCTTTAATTGTCCAATACAGTGCAATGCGACTGTATGGCGGGTGAGACGAACTTACACAGCTATTCAATGGGGGTCTGATCTGGGGGATACAGGGCCAAGGAAAAATGTCATCGATGAGATTGGCGTTGGAAATCGTTGTCGCTTGTCACATGCGCACACAAAACGTCTTAAAGGATTGGGTGGAGCGTATTTCGCTCATTCAGGTCAAGCACTTAACGGCCGTTGCCATGCTACTAAAAACGTCTAGCTTGCTAGCGTCTTATAGTGTCTGTCCGGTTAAAAATGGTGTTCTACTCCATTGTTCCAAACGTTTTTGGACGCGACAGACACCGTCAAAAATAGCCATGTGGACTGACTCGTCAGAAATCCGCCGATGAAAAAAACTGGCAATGGGTTAGCCGATGCTATTCTTATTAACATGACAACCACAAGGATTGCTGTAAGACATCATACAACTCTGCAAACTTATCCTCAACCGTGGCGCAATACATGAGTGTAAATTTTACCACTCTGTTCGCAGCAGAACACTTCGTCGCCAATCACGTCACTGCAGCCTGTTTTATGACATACTCACAATCACCATAAGGTGACGACGTTTTTAAGTGATGTACCAGGCGCGTCGCAAAGATCTTATCCATACACGTAGTTTTCTCTCCAAGTACCTACAGTTTCCCCTCCTAGCGCGTGGCTTATTCTATATGGGTGCCCGCGGTTTACCGACCCGTGATGTTCCCTCATTGTGCCCACGTGAGTGACGCAGCCTGTTAGCCCCGGCGCTACAACTGCAGCTGCTCATGCGGTTTGTGACAGCAGGCATCGTTAAAAGAAGCGTGCGACGGAGCACGTGTTATGTAAAGCACACCTCGGCGTGGTGCTTGCGAAAGCCAGATCGACTGGGGAGAGCGTGACAACTGCAGCTGTCCACGTGGCTTGTGACAGCAGGTATCGTTGAAAGCGGCGTGCGGCAGAGCACGTGTTATGTAACGCACAGGTCGGCGTTATGCTTGTGAAGGCTAGATCGGCTGAGGAGAGTGACCCATTGCACCGCATTTGTCTGTGTTTTTGCGGCGTTCATCATGGTAGCAGTTGGAGGTGTTCGCGCAGTGGAGCGGTGCCTGTGATGACGGTTGGATATCGCTTCGCAACGCACCCCTGCACACCAAGGTGTTTGCGGCACCGATGACAGGGAAATACGGAAAACTGGCTCTCGATGTTATCATTGTATCGATTCAATACAAGATTTGTTTTCGTCATGTGGAACGCTCATACGTTATGTCTCGGTGATGGGTGCTGAAGGTAGTCTTCCGACACCACTTACTTGACGTGCTCGCCTCGAGGTTAAAGCGCGACCGGAAAACGCAGCGTCTTCAGCGCGAGGTCCCACATTCACTTTGGCAGGATGTGTGCTTATTCATGATCGGTACAGGTTTGTTTGTATAAATTATCCAAGGCTGCTCTAAAACTTAGGAGCAAAAATCTGAAAAGCGTCCGTTACATTCGAAATCTGAAAAAGGATGCAAAAGTTGGGATAAAGTTGCATTCGTTTATCCTTCTCTGACGTGGAAGACGAAATCATCTGCACTTCCCTATGTTTTTCCCGCATTTCCCTGTTTTTTCTCCGCAAGTGTGGGACCAGCGTCGTTCCACTACCTCACCTAAAGAGCGTTCTTGGTGAGTTTCTAGGGTTTTGCCAGAATGTAGAAGCTCAGTGTTCCCTTACGCGGCTGGCTAATGCGTATATTAGTATGTACACATTGGCCAATGGTCTATATCTTTATTGTCGGGTTTGTAAGAGGGGCCCGTAAATGTCGGAATTTTCGGACTATCGTGAGCGCAAAGACCCTGTCGGCGACAATTCAAGCTGTCGCCAGACTTAGCGCGTGGCACTGACCGGTCAGCTGGCAAAATGTCGTCGCGATCTAGCCCTGGCGGCCGGAAGGTCGTGTTCACGAGATTGGCCCCGATCCATCACTGGATTTCCGGACGCGGGGGCCCGCTCCTTCCACATTCATGTGTCAGGGCCGCAGGTTCAGTCATATTTGAGACGCAAACGGAATGCCATAGCCATAGCGCTCTCAGTTGTCTGTGAGAGAGAAGCAAACGTTATTGCAACGCTATCCGCCATCTGAAGAGCACACGAACATGCTTGCCGTCTTAGCAGTAAATGAAAGGCAGAAACCTCTGGATACCTAGATGTTCGTTGCCTTAATCTAGCGAACGCGTAGAAACCCAGCTCACAAGCTGCAACGTCCACTGAGAACACCCGTCACAAAACCTACGTCGCCGATAGCGAAGTCAGCTCGTCCCCGTGTGAACCAGTTAGTGCTCGACCAGACGGTGATCAGGAAATGAACCATTCATCGAAAGCATGTTGATCAAAGACGATCTGAACTGATTCAGGCGAAAGCGAAAGGTTTTAATTGACAGTCGAGTTAAATTAACAAGATTTCGATTTTTCCAATGGGTCAATAAGTTCAGTATGACGCCAACATTTTCATGTCTCAACAGCGTAAGACGCCAGGGTAGAATCAAGAACATAATATCCAAACAACGCGTAGGCGTCGATCTCTGATGCCATCCGTTGACGCTTAGTCAGCCGGCCGGGCCGAGAGGGCCGCCGCCTGTAGCGTCGGTATCATGTTCACAGCCATGCCAACGCACACCAACAAACAGCCTTCTGCCGTCCGCGCCCGGTTCCTTTTTCTCTCTCTCCACTCTGTCTGCCTCTCTCTCTCTACTACTGGCTGTCTACTCAAAAGTAGACAGCCAGTCTATTTTTGAACACCGCCATGTTCACTGGACCAGTCTTCTCTCGAAAGCCGCCATGTTAACTGGCCCAGTCTTTTCCCGAAAGCCGCCATGTTATCTGGGCCAGTCTTCTTCCGGAAGCAACCATGTAAACTGGGCCAGTCTTTCTCCGAAAGCCCCCATGTTAACTGAGCCAGTCTTCTCCCGAAGCCGCCATGTGAACTGGGCCGGTCTTCTTCTGAAAGCCGCCGTGTTACCTACAGTGAACTTAAGCTCTATCCTTCTGCTTCAAAATAAAAAGCAAGACAGAGTCAACGGTCTGTGGGAAAATACGCACGATCCGTACTGTGTCGCCGTAATAGAGCGGTTGCGCGCGGGTGTATGGCCATCGATCAACCCGCCCATGCTCTACGCTTGGTCGCACATCTCGATCGCGGATCGTATAACTATTTGGATCATCGTTATTGTCTTGTGTGTTAGTGCGCACACGGGTTTCGACCAGTTAGTTATCCAGCCACCATCAAGTGTCGGTCAAAATCGTATAAATGCCACCAGTGATGATGGCGAAACTAGACAGAGAGAAATAAACTACTTTACCGAGATGTTTCGCAGGAACGAGTACTCAAAGGGCTGCCTAGGCCGGAAGTCCAAAGAGCGTGGTTGAAACGTAGGGCAGCTAAAGGAAAAGCGACAGCAACGGTATCACTGCCATACAACGGCTTGTTAGATAAGATCAAAAGAGTCTGTAGACAATTCAAAATTAGGACCGTCTTCAGAAGCTGCTCAGCGCTCCGGAGAACACTTGCCAAGGTTAAGACTATCGGCACCTGAAGGACCGAATGAAGAGCCGCATGTACGACATACCATACAGCTGGGGCAGTCCTACAGAACAGAGCCATGTCGCCCTCTGTCCGTCAGGCTGGAGGAGCAAAGAAAGGCAACTGCCCGAGTTGAGGCTCTGAAGTCTGGTGTGGCAAAGCATGCCTGGTCAAAAGACCATCACTGAACAGCATATCGGCATATTGTACGTCCTATTTGGACGGTGATATTTGAGGTTACGTCTCCTACCAATCTTGGAATAGCCAAAACGTTTGTAAAACAAGGGGCATTGGTGAGGGAAAACAGGCTGAAAATGCGTGCAATTCATTGCTCGCTTTAACATGTAAGAACTGCGTGCAGTGTTTAAGAATGACAAAAAACTGTCTTATTTGAAAACAATCAACACGAACTGCACTACCGCAAACCGAAAGAGAATTGTCACCTTGCTTTATGAAGCTGACAGCTGGTCGCACTGTGGCCCACGGCTATCTCGGCGATAAGCTGAAGACGGGGCAGGGCCTCGGACCGTCTCGGAAACCTCACCAGCCTTGAGCAATTTGCCGTCTCCGGGGTCCTCCCGAAAGCCCCGGGAGACCAATGACCTGGGAGCGCTTGCGGTTTCAGAGAACAAATCACACAGACTGTTCGCACCACAGACTGTTCCCGTTAGAAAATATGCTATTTCCCAAATGACACACCCATGGATAACATGAGGAGCGACGCACAATAAGCCGGCTTGGTTCTAGGACCCACTTCCGCAGCGCAGACGCCATCGGAGTGGATCATACAACGTAAAAGCGTCCACAAGGCACTCACATATACTGAGGCGGGCTTCACCCCTGTCGCCCCACCCTGTTAATTCCCTTTCGCTTTTCGCCGTTCTCACCACCTCGTCATATTAACGAGGGCGGCAGGATGGCTCCAACGACCAGCTACCACCGTGTCTGCAAGATACCGGTCGGGCCTAGACACGTGCTGGTGTCGCGCAGACACGGCCAGCAAACACGACAGCACTGCTGACTACTCGACAGCTTCGCAACCGCAGCCCGCTCCAAATTTAGTCCCCTTTACCCAAGTTACGACGCATGCACATTACCGTCTCGACAGATTACAGGGCGTACATAAATCAATGCATGTTGATGAGACAGCTGTTGTAGGCTCCGGCGCGGCCGCCTCGGCCGGAGCGCGTGGTGGCCGCTGGGCAGACGACGGCGGCGGCCGTCGCTCGGGCCGGCCCGGCTGGCTCAGGCGGTGCCGTGCAGCTGCTGCACGTACGAGCCGCGCTCCGGCATGGCCTCCGTCTCCGGGCTGCGGTTGTGCGCCTTCCACACCGGCACGCCGCAGAACAGGCGGCACGCTTTGATGTAATCCTGGAAAAGGGCCGGGGCGCTGAAGGTCAGTCATCGGTGCGGTCCAGCCCGGCCACGCCTCTGGGGTTTGGGTACGGATGCCGACGCGGCGCCACGCGGGACCGTCTGGAGATAAAAAAAGCAACTACGCCGTACGGAACCGTCTGGAGATAAAAAAGAAACTGCGCCGTGCGAGATCGTCTGGAGATAAACAAGAGAATGCGCCGTACGGGACCGACTGGAGATAAAAAAGAAACTGCACGGTGCGAGATCGTCTGGAGATAAACAAGAAAATGTGTCGTACGGGACCGTCTGGAGATGAAAAAGCAACTGCGCCGTACGGGACCGTCTGGAGATAAAAAAGAAACTGCGCCGTGCGAGATCGTCTGGAGATAAACAAGAGAATGCGCCGTACGGGACCGACTGGAGATAAAAAAGAAACTGCACCGTGCGAGATCGTCTGGAGATAAACAGGAAAATGCGTCGTACGGGACCGTCTGGAGATAAAAAAGAAACTGCGCCGTGCAAGAGCGTCTAGAACTAAAAAGAAACAAAGAGGCCGCCTCACGTATCGTTTCGCGTCTTTTGTCGGATTTTAATTGTTATTTCAAATTTTCAATTTCTCATTTCATTATTGGATCTTAATTCTCTAAGAATAATTTTTAATATTTATTCCATACTCATTTCACGTTTTTTACCCAAAGGCTTTCGCCCATTTCGTCTTTCACCCCCCCCCCCAAAAAAAAAACAGCATTTGCCGACCCAGTTAATTAGTACGTCTAAATTTCTCACACGGATCATAGCTTTTGAAGAACTAACTATTCCTTTCACCTGAAAATTAACCATTCGACACTTTCTGTTACACGCTTCAGTTTGACATTGGATTCCGTGTGTCACACTTTCAAGAAAATACTCTGCTTCCACACCGACACCAGGTTGAAGAAATCCCCAAATTTGGGAGAAGAATAATGCCGAAAACGCCCGCTTCATACCACTTTAATGGCCTGCATTTTCTCCATCCGAAAAGGCTGCCTTTCACAACCAGTCTTAGATTTCCGGGCAATGTATATATGGTACCTGGAATGTATGCATCCATTCCAAACGCATCACTACCCACATTTGAACACGATGTTCGGTGATGGTGTAAAAAACATGTTTTGACGAGTGGGGTCAGCTGTTGAACTGTGAACAAAGTTCGAGATTCAGTGGCTCAGCCCATATTGCCCGCTTTCCCACTTTCTAGAAGCCGGCAATATTTCCAGCCACTAATCGCAGATTTACGCAATTTTCAGCAACAAGGATCACGGCTTCATACAAAATTGTGCAATATCTTTTGAGCCCTCACACGTGGGGAGAAAAACTTCAACATTGCACTACTACCTTGATTTCGCGTCCCTATCCAATAAGCACTGCAAAGGTAACATTTTTAATTCTTCAGTTACACGAATGCAAACCGGGCCCAGACCTCGTCTACGTCACGGCCCGGCTCCCTCGCGCAAAGATACCGAAGACCTAACGATGCACGTGAACATGCTGATTACAAATCAGTATCGAATCTCAAAACTGTCCGACCCATAGGAGCCCTGATGATTGGAGGCATGCCGCGTTTCCGAAGCCGCTCTCCGTAACGAGATACTGTAGCCTGCCCAGCGGACGCTCGGGGCATGCAAAATACCCAGCTTCACGGACTTATTTATTGTGACCACTATCGAGTCAAAACACCGACCGCTTTGAGTTAAACGTCGGTCATGACTACCAAAACGGTAAATAATTACAAATTCATCCATTTCTTTGACTGACATAATCAAGGCAGAGCAGCAGGGTCGCAGCCAGAGCCTTGGCAATGTGAGGCGCACGAGGTTGAGAGAGGGTCCCCTGACGGTGGAAGGCGCCTTCCCCCTAAACAGCTGCCTGATATGACCCAATTCTTAAAGAGGGGCATGGTATTCTTTGTTTGTTTACTACGTTTCCTTATACAACTGGAATAGAAGCAAAAAGCTCTGGCGAGATAACATGTGTCTGCATTTTGAAGTAAAAGGAAAAGTTGAAGAAATCAGGCGTCAGACAACTACATGGAATAAATCACCGGCGTTCTTCATTTAACAATGGTTCACTCGACTCTTCCTAACCGATAGAACTCACAAGTTTTACCAGAATTTCGATCTGGGTCCTACAGAGATACTGAGGACCTTGTGAATGTAAATTGTGGACAAAAATGGGTCAATAACTTGCATTAATGAGACCAACCCATGTTTGCCTGAAAAAGTCAACATTTAGTCAGAATCGATTCGTGAGAAACATGATGTAACGCAGTGTAAAACATGCACGCTCGAAAATCTTAACAACAAAAACCTCGAAGCCCTAGGTACAGTCTCCATGAGCTGCTCGGCGTCGCCCCTTGGCTAACACTGGTGGCGGATAACGGGCGGACGAAAATCTGGTGGTGGAACTGGAGCAGTGCAGGTAGAACCTCTATTTTTAGTGTTGCTGTAACATCCAGAGGACAATCTCAAAATTCGAAAGGAGGTGCCCGCTGGTACGATCAAGTCCAAACCGTAAACGGTACGTAGTTATTTGAAACCAAACTCTCGGAAGCATGATTTTACGGCGGTCGCTCTCGCGCGCACAGCGCCCGCCGCCTGATGTCACTCGCAGTGGCCAACGTCGTTCGGTTTTACGGGAACCGTAACCCCGGCCGTCGCTGTTCCTGCTCAAAGATTGCAAGCGCGCGGGCTCAAACTTGTCGATGTAGTTCGTTTCACTAGTTAATTCCACAAAAGAATGCACGTTCTCAGGCCAACATGTATTGGCCTTTCCATTTTTGGACTCATCTCGACCCATCTTCAACACTTTAAGCCCGTTACGTTTTCAGACGAGGCGCCCATTGAGAAGAACATAAGGGGGCCTGTTATCGTCCCCGGTCAAGGCTGAAGGGCCATTCCGTCCCAGCGCGGGGTGCTTTCTAGCCCCCATTCTGGTGACACAGGGGCGATGTCCCCTCACCGGTCCGGAGGCCCGTAGAAGGGTCTATCGTATCACATTGAACTCCTCCTTGACACGATAGGCCTTCTGACTCGCGCGGTTGCCCCGGATCGACGCAGGAATCTTCACCGACGTAGCAAGACCCCTGATCGCAACAGGTGACTTAATAATTGACACATTAACTTCAGTTCGCCTTGACGGCCCTTTTGCTGGCGGGCACACAGATCGCTACTGAGGCTCCTGACAGGCACAGGGTCCTTCCATTGTCTCAACGTGAACTGACATCATACGTTCCCGATTTCCTTTCGTTATCAGAGGGCTCGACCAACGCAACTTCCTGGCGACGACTCGGTGCCACTTGCTGACACCGGACCCCTTGCTAAGCGCTGCGGGCCCCTGGCCGATGCCCTCATTGTTTCAGGCACTCGGGCCAATGCAAATCGCGGGCCCCGCCTTGCTGGTGCTTGGGAAATGGACCCCCGGGAAGTGGACCCCCATGAAATGGCCCATATCGACGCGGAGCCGACTGAGTGGTTCTGGTGGTGTCTGACCCACATATGGGCCCATATCGACTCAGGCGGTCCCTAACCGGGGCAAAGGGCCCTCTGGTTGTCATCTGAGGGCCTGTCCGCAGGCCGGGATCCCTAAAGAAGACGCCTGCCAGCCATTCGTGCCCTTCGGTCCCCCAACTGGTCCTTGATTGTCGGTCCCGATGGGCTCTCCAGGTTCTGTCATTGGGGCTTTATGACGCACTCAGCTGCTGAGGCTATATGGCGTCGCCTGCCTCTCACCTTGGAAGGAAGGGCGGTCACCGCGTGGAATCGAACCCCGTGCCTCTGGTTTCCCAGACGCGCAGTGGTTAACGCAGACGCGTTTACCACTACACTACCGGCACCCTCTCTCCAGGTTCTATTCGGGCGTCCTCGAACACTGCCTCTGACCGAATCGGAGCCCCTTGCCAACATGGGGCGCCCTGTTAGGCACTGTGGGCTTGACAGACGCTGGGTTGGATTTTTCCCTGCTTGGGAACTAGGCCCTCGGGCTGGAGCCGACTGTGTGGTAGCGTCTGATCGGCATATAAGCCCTTATCGACTCAGGAGATCCCGGTCGGCGAAAACGGCCCTCGGGCTGGTATTAGGGTGCAAGGCCCTACTGGCCAGGGCTCCTGCATACGATCTCCGGCTGGCATTTGGACCCTTAAAAGTCGGTCTCAAGGATCATTCGGGCCCCTTGGAACCTAACAGGAGGGGGGGGGGGGGGGGAGGACGTGCTCCCGTGCCCCCCCCCCCCTGCCTGTGCCACTGCAGAGCAGATACATGGCCAACCATTCTGTTTTCAAGGTATAATTTCAATGTATTTCGTACGCAAGTGGGACTCCGCAACTTAAATTGCCACAAAAGTCGCACCTTCCCACATGTTCGCAAACCGATAAACTTGGCTGCGGAGAGCGTTTCAGTCACTTAGCCAGCTCACCTTAGTTGGCTTGGGTTCTGGCATTATCTTCATGGTAACAAGGGATGGCTCTCACATCTGTTATCGCCTCGATCACCAGAAAATATTCCCATTCACCATACCTGCTGTCGGGCGTTTTAGTATCTGCAGGACCCGTTAGTTCGTGGCGGGACCTGTCTAGGCAATTTAACAGGTTAAACAGCACGTTTTTAAGATTAGGGAGCTAAAATGCAGCTGGTTCCTTTTAACTTCTCGATACGACATCGTGAGAGAATAACGCAAATTACTGTTCTCTGCAAAACGTTTAAGCTCATTGAATGTCTAAACATTCAAACGATGGTAACCACTAGACCCAACTCAAAAATACATATGAGTAATGGCATTAAAGGTGTGCAGCACATAATAGAACAGAAAATACTCAGGTAACAAAGGCACAAGCACAGAGTTCCCAAAACTGACCAATTCGCAGTCAGCAGGGCCTGACATTACATATTTCATTTCACCAATTCCCTTTACTTGAGAAACATTTCTAATTCACCTAAATTAAGGCGCTATCATTTTGAGCTACCATTCCTTCGTCATGCCTGTACTTTTACGCAATTAACCATTCCGTTGAATTACTTCGTTTTCCTCATCACTTGGCTAGGACAGCGGTGACAACAATGACATGCTATACTTGATAAAAGATGCAACTATGGCACTCTAAGCTTCCGCCAGCTTATGCTGGTTTTAGCGGTACAAAGAGCGGACAGAAGTGGAAATTACATCCAGATGAGGCGCCTACAGCACGCCCACCTTGTCGTCGCAGGTGAAGCGGTGGTAGATGCCGACAGGCAGCACCAGCAGGTCACCCCGCTCCACCAGCACGCCCACCTTGTCGTCGCAGGTGAAGCGGTGGTAGATGCCGACAGGCAGCACCAGCAGGTCACCCCGCTCCACCAGCACGCCCACCTTGTCGTCGCAGGTGAAGCGGTGGTAGATGCCGGCAGGCAGCACCAGCAGGTCGCCCCGCTCCACCAGCATGCCCACCTTGTCGTCGCAGGTGAAGCGGTGGTAGATGCCGGCCGGCAGCACCAGCCGGTCACCCCGCTCCACCAGCATGCCCACCTTGTCGTCGCAGGTGAAGCGGTGGTAGATACCGGCCGGTAGCACCAGCAGGTCACCCCGCTCCACCAGCACGCGCACCCAGCGGTCGTGCCGGTCCCGCACGTCGAAGTAGCCCGAGCCTTCCAGCACCAGGCGGATCTCCTCGTCGGCGTGCAGGTGCTCCTCGAAGAACATCTTGATCTGGGGCGGGGAGGGAGCCAGTGATAGCGCGCTAGCGTCGCCGAAAGCCACGTTGCACACATCTTCACCTGAGGCAGGCACGGAGCAAACGCGGAGGAGAGCGCTGCCCACTGCCTGGGAGCTGCGTGACACGCATCTGGATCTGAGATACGCAGTGTGCCGGCACGAGAACACTGAAGCACCATGCGGAGCCATGTCATACACATGGTACGCCCATGTGTGTGATATGTAATGTATGCACACAGAAGATGTCTCTCGATCTCAGGCATACAGAACCAGTGTACATCTAATCATTTCACTAGTCTTAAGTAAACTTAACGGGGCAGTCCTACAACAACGAGCTGCATTTGTGGCCGTTTCAGCCCCACCATTCCGCACTGGTTACGCTGGGTTATCTAACGCTGGGCTACCTAAGCATGACGTCCGTCTGGCCCCTTACCCAGCTAAAGGCGTGAAACAAATACGTGTGTGTTTCTTGTTATGACAGGAATCCAACGACATGGGACAACGACGCGTCAAAGCATTTAAAGGATTTAGGGTAATTCGTAACCACACTTGAGCGTGGCGTTACGCTGTCTAGCACTTTGGTTATGCTCCCTCCATCCTTCCCTCCATCCATGCGTAACATGGAAAATGCTCAGTTCCAAGATTGTTTCGGAAATGCAAAATCACATTGGTCAACTTCCCCCGCAAATACCATCAGTGACAGCGACAGCGGCAAGTGCTCAAGTTATGTCCAAAACTGCGGGCACGTTCAGTCCGTCAAATGTGCTCCACAACGCTTCCAATTATAATCCCGTCTGTATGCTAGTTGTTCATCAAAAGGTCTACTTCCTTGGAACGTCGTGATCAAAAAGCCTTTCCCAAACAAGGTGGTGCAAAATCGAGGCGTGGAACGCAAACACGGTTAAACTGAGCTGATGACCCGGGGTACCTAGAGATGCTGAATGTCCTTGCTACCGACTTCCGGAGGCGATTTTCACGTCTGCTTAAACATTTTCAAATCACCGACCCATATTCAGCTCTGTAGCGTTTTTATTATCACAGCCCTATTCCGAAATTGCCGTACTCTACTCGTTCCTCTACTTGAGAATCTGGTACAACTGTTGTGACAATGCAGCATGCCTGTCTAACTTCTGCATCGTTTGAACTTCTCCAGCTTACCGTCTATCGTAACGTGATTTGGACCGACCCATAGAAGCAAATGTTTGTCGCCAATAGCAGTGCGCCTACGAACACTACGTCACCCCACCGATTTAAGAATCGCGTTTGCTCCCAACGGCAGCTAAAACCGTAACAGCTGAGGGTACAAGCAAAGCAGTGAAGTTGGCAAATGTTATGACATAATGTACCCAAAATTTGGGAATGAGCATCAAGTGATAAGCTCCGGAGCAAACAGCACCGATGGCTAAACCCACCCTCATCCCCCACAACCAAAACTACGTGCCACCGCCAGGAACACCGCTGCAGGGGGGAGCAGCCAAAAGTATGTTTCCGCCCCTCCAAATTGTCAGGAAGCCCCTTTTCTCCCGACACTTTCAGGCATTACAGCTCCCCGTAGACAACAAACTAACAAAAATTCAGATCATGGAGGCCCCCATAATTGAGCTAGAGGAATAAATGGGCCGAGAAGACTGTTTTCTACATCAAAAAACCCGTTTCTAAACCATGACGTCACTTTTATGAATATAACTCACGCTCTGGGTAACAAGGCTCAATGTTGTGCCTCGCTGGTCAGCATATGAACTGTGCTGGGACCTCAAGGCTTCGTTGCCGATTCATTCAACCTACGCCGTGTCAGTCGTTGTCTGTGACGTCAGGCCAGCTGACGACCGCTGCCAAGGTCACCGCCGACCCACAGCTGCATCGCCCCGGAGGTAAACACTCCGACCCGCTGGCGGCCGGCGAAGTGCGCGGCCGCCGTGACCTTTGAACCCGCGTTGTGGTCACGTGGCCCACGCTATCCGCACGCCGGCCGTAGGTGGAGGCGCGGCCGCTGGCCCGGTGCGCCGCGGGCTGTGATTGGGAGATCGTGCCCGGCCATCTTCACGCGACCGAAGAGCAGCGGCCGCCCGCCGGCACTGGCTGTCGAGGTGCGCAGGCGGGGGGTCGGCGCCGGTCGGTGAAACGTCTGGTGCACGAGCAGGCGACGTCGTCCCGGCGCAGCGCCGCGCCCGTCGGCCGCCACGGCCGGTCGTCCTAGTGACCTGGTCACCGCGCCCCAGCCATGGCGGACGGTGAGCAGGCGGACCACCCCGGTGACGTGCTCCGGTGGTCGTCGACACGCCCTCCCGGCGCAGGCATGGTCTCCTTAGGATTCGCGTTCCTGCACTGCGTCGCTGTGCAGGCTTCCATCATACTCCGGCCGTTCGTCGAGTTCGTTGTGCACGCGTGGCTGCTGGCGCTGCGCGTGCTGACGTGGCCCTACCAGGCGTGCTGCAGCCTGGTGCTGTTCGTGTTCGCCTGGCCGCTGCTGCTGGTCGGCCTGTGGGCCTACGCCGGCGTCTGCGTCTGGTGGCGGTGGAGCGCGGGCAGCGAGATGCCGGCGGAGCGACGGCGTGAGCCGGCCGCGCTGGCCGGCGCTGGTCTGGACGCGCCCGAGCCGGAGGTGGCCGGCGAGTTCGGGCCGGCCGAGGACGAGCCTCAGCCGCCACGCCGCCCGCTGCCCGCCGGCTACCTGGACCCAACGGACTTCCTGTCGCCCGAGGCAGCTGGCCGGCATGAAGTTCTACCGGCGCCGCACGCCGCTACGTCGCTAGCTGGACGCGACCCGACGCACGGCCGCGGTCGGCTCCGGCCCGTCTCGTTGCCGTTCAGACGGTGTGGGAGAGCCCGTGTCAGTGACCGTGTCGGACACGGCCGGACCGTGTCGACACGTATCGTCGGAGGAGGTCCGGCCGCTCCGCCCGAGCCGGCCGGACGGCTCAGGCGCGCATCTGCCAGTGATTTGTGAGGACCAAGGAGGCGCATGTGAAAACCACCTGCGATCCTGGAGGATAAACGCTTTTATGTACGTAACAGCTACTCTGTGTGTCTTCCTTCATGGCCGTGTGGTTTTACATATCGTTCATGCTGCGTTCCTTCATAACATGTCGGTGGGGTCGAGCGATAGTGTGTGGGCAAGAGTGTCAAGTGTGTGGTCAAACGATATGCCTCCTTTAGAGTTGCATGGTTCGTTTTGCCAGCTCATGCGTGCCCAATAGAACAGTTAACAGATTGGATAAATTACATGGATAGAAGATGGATTCGCCAGGTGTATTAGACCGGACCGGACCAGAAAATTTAGGAAACATCCGGATTGAGACCGGATTGGAATTTGGAATTTCAAGCCACACGGATTGAATGGATGGAAAACGAATCGTGTTTCAAAAGATGCTAAATGCATCCTATTGAAACCCTGCTTTCAATGACGGGAACAAGAAAGGAATGCTAGACAACTGAATATTCTTCAAAACGCGGCCGGTTGGAGAAAAAATTAATTATATTTAAAAATCAATTGTCATTGTTCACAAAATTAATTAGACAAAAGTATCCATCACAGCAAGATATATAGACACAGTTTAAGCGCCTTAAATATCCAAACCATTATGAATATGATCCGTATTAGCTGCCGTTGCATTATTCACATCCTTGATTGACATTCACCCAGTGTATGATATGACCCAGTGTTGCAAAAGAGAAATCGTTAGAGTCAGAGGCCTGCACCCATTCCAATATTTCGTATTTGTGTTGGCGGTTCCTTGCTGAGATGTAAGGGGTGCCGGTGAACGGAGCAGCGGTCTGGTCACGTGATCACTGATCGCCGGGGGGGGGGGGGGCTCGGTGCCGCGGCCGCGGCCAATTGAGTAGCCTAATACAGTTTGTGCCGGGACGCCAGCTTGATGTAACATTTGTGAACAGTGCAGTGAACCGAGCATAGTACTTCGAGAACAGAACTGAATTATATGAAACACTCCAGTTGTCAGCATACTTCCATGCTGCTGACAGAACCGAAGTATCAATATTAGTTGAACCGAGCTGACAGAACAACAGAACATTTCCATGTTGCTGCGCAACTTTGATGATTATCAAAACAGGCAGGAAAAATGAACTACAAGTGGGCATGTCCACATCCGAGCTAAAACAGGACTCAAGCCCTCCGGTACCTTGTAATTGGGAATACCTTGACAGGTGATAGAACTGCCGCCTATACGTTGCAGCCGGTTGGAACTGCCATAGGTAGCAACATGGCGCTTCCCGAGTGGATAATTTCCATGCACGAATTCGAGCAGGCGGATATGACGAACACGAGCTTAAAGCCCAAATGATACGCCCGATGGATGGAAGATACCATAGGTGTATGAAACCACAGCCGCCCCACGAAAATACATCATCTATTTTTATTATCTCCACTCGACCATGAAGCTCACCCAGGACGGCACTCACGGGACAGGGGTTTATGTGGCACTGACAAGTTAGCAGCAGTTTATGCGACTTTCAGATATTCAACGAACCGTTATGTCAAGCCCGTGAATGAGGAATACATGGAATAGGAAAATGGAAATGACTGGAGTGAGGAACACCTGAACTTGGGCAGGATTCCCTCGAAACGGCGATCGGAGCCTGAAAAACGGAAACCATATAAAGCACAAAGAAAGCAGTTGAACGTTGCATGTTCCAACCAACTCTTAGTATAGAACATGCCAGCAATTGTAGATTCGTCTTCACCTCTCTGTAAGTAGCGACATCATCCCACCACCCACGTGAAAGGCGACTTCAGGACCCTGCCGGCCGGGGACGCATCTGACTCGCCGGCACGCTGCAGCGGGCGTTGTTTGACGATTTAAGCCATTCACATATGAGACGAGATTCGCATACTCCATGAGCGGTTTTGCGGTTTTGCCTCGCGTTTAGTATTCTTGCATATGCTATGCCCTTTTCATGCGCCATCAGGTTGTCTGTAGTTGCGCAGCGACCAAAAACCTCGAACGCCGGCCTTCGTTTCAAAAGTGCCGCCCTGCGTTCTTCCGGCCACCCGGGGCCAGGGACCCCGCGCAGCTTCGGCGACGTCGTGGGAACGCAGGACCTCACAGCCCCAATCACTGTGGATGTCACTTGCTTCTTGAGCTATGTCGCATTGGCGCCCACGGTCGACTGCATTACGATCTGCACTGCTCGCCGGTAAATCTGTGTCAGGCAGCTTGATGCAGATTACGGCAATGACGCCTGCCGCCTGGCTGTCCTGCATTTATCCCCAGTCATATTGGAAAATGGTCACACCAGCATCTGGTAATGTCGACAGCCCAAGACAACCGACCAAAAATGGACGGCGGAGAAAACATAAAATCCATCACTAAAACGGTGCAGAGCAGGAGATATATCTGGGTGCACCGCGGCTATTTCCGCAGACGACTCTTTCGTCGGTGGATGACCGAGGAGCAGGACCAGGTGAGGCATGTTTGTTACACCAATCGAGGACGATACTCCAATCAATTATTATATCCGTGATACTAATAACTCGTCTCCAACCTTCCGTAAACCCGTATAACTTTGGTCAACCGTGGAGGGTCGGGAAGATGGCCTTCACACCGGACGAACATAACGCAGCTGTGGGTCCGCTAAAAACAATAAACACAGTCATCTCCGTCCCAAACAAGGAAACCACCTAATTGAGCGTCGGCGGAATACGAAGCAGTGGGACAAATCGAGACTCCAGCTCAGGGGCCTGTCTCACCTTCGCCTCGAAGTTGTCCAGTCGGCCCGGGGAGACGGTGATGACGTCCTTGTAGTTGTAACCTCGCTCGGCACGGATCTTCTCCACCAGAGGCGAGCCCTCGACGTCCTCATCCCCCACCTGCGGGGCGGCACAGCACGTAGCAGTCGCACCGGATGACCGCGGCGCTGAGGCCGGAGGGTCTTTTTTCTTCTTTTGTTCGCCCCGGCGACCTCCAGTTAGAGCCGGGTCCCGCTGAGCCTCCTGATCGGGGCGTGAGGGCGCGCCTGCGCAGCCCTGCCAGTCGCTCCAGTCACACACTGAGCGCGCCGCCAGCCCGCCTGCCATCGCCTGGCAGCATCAAGCAAGCACGTTTCACCCAAGCGGCCTGACGGTGAGTTGTTGTTGAGGTGCTTATTATGTGAGATGTTGTGACACCCATAGCAACATAACAGTTTGTGAATTATAAAACCACCGATCACATTACACGTTTGCTAAAAAACGACCGCTGATTCCGCATTAATAAGGTTCTAGATGCATTTTCGAGGTTCCGGGCTTTCGACTTTGCGGTGTCGTTTAGGTAAAAGATTGTTCGCATAAACTGATTTACATATGTGTCGATATCTGGATATTCTAACGTTTCAAGGCCTCATCTCATCGGCAGAGAAATAAAGTGCACAAGTGAAAAGCTATGAGATTTTTTAAGGACGAAATATGCGCATTGATATCTTCAGAAAATCTTTTAGGACGGAGAAGGCAAATATTCCTATGTTTACTTGCGTGCGCATAAAAGACATCCGTAAAAGGAACACTGCAATGACACAAAACCACAATCACATGTACAGTAGCCATCGGCCAACACTTCATAGCTGAAGAGTTGTGCAGTAAGTGTGTATTTAGGGCTGGAGAGCATTAGCTAGTCACGCTTTCCCAAATTTGAACGCGTCTTCTGACATCGCATATCTGAAGGATGTCAATGTTGTCCGTCAGTTATGGTGATGTCTTATAATGTTCGCGTCACATGTGCTCTGGAGGTGTCCCGTCGCGTATAAGCATTATCAGACATGGTGAGAGTCGCGATTACGCCCAGGGAATGTATGGAAAGAAGCTTACAAATTCAGCTTATCTAGTTCGTTGGGGCTGATTCTCATGAGAAGGGTGTGTTGCGATAACCAATGACAATGTCTATTCTGTGATCGCTCTTACCTTACGCGTGTCGGGAGATGATCCCTCCGTGTATCTTTTTCGTCTTGTTTGTAAACGGATGTCATTTGTTTTGGGCAATCGTGGAATGGTTTATTGTGAATCTTGTCTTGGTTTATTGCCAAAATGTGTCGTCATGTGTCATTGTATTTCATTTTCAACATCAGAATTTGAAAAAGAGCGTTGTTCATCGAGATTAGCTTATTCGTAGCATTCTGAACGTATTCTTGTCCAATCAGAACAATGCTTAAATGCATGCTTAAGAAATGATCTTATGACGCTAATTCTGAAGCATTGGGAACATTCACTGTCAGCGCTTAAGAAACACCCGTTGTAAGTCTACTTTCTGCATACAGTCGTACTAAATCGCTGTCCTCGGCCATTAACAGTCGCGTCAAGAAAGGGTATTACGTTATCTATGCTTAGTTATCTTGTCAGTTTTAAGCCAAAGCGCTCTTCAAGTGCGTTTTTGAGCGGCTCCAGTCGCTCAGTATCCCATATCTGCACAGCGATACCGTCCCCATAACGACAATAAACATCAGGTCTTTTGTCATCACAATGTATAACGTCGACTTCTTCATGGTCCGTAAAAAATTGGCGAATAAAAGTCCAAGCGGGGAGCCTATCACAACACCTTCAACTTTACAACACGTTCGTCCATCACAGCCCCGAAAAGGAACTTCCAGCGTACAGACATCGACGAATATGAGCGACTTGTACGAGCAATCTTTCACCTTAACGACACTGCAAAGTTACCGTCTCGAAATGACCCTGGCAGTCGGTGAGACGTAAAGCCCCATTAATTCTATTTATACTGCCAAGTTGAAAGCTCGGAACCTACAACGAGGTAACAGAAACCTTATTAATACGGAATCAGCGGTCGTTTTTAATCAAGCATGCATAGAGCAAAATCCTCTGCCAAAATATTTGAAAGAACATTTTCCGCCAAGATATGCCCACAAATCAGTCAGCGCCATGCCTCTATAATCATATCCGCTGCAAGGACCTTCGTATATTTATGCAACATCTGTTCCAAGCTTTCCCACACACCATCATTGCGTGATTGATGGAGGTACGGAAATGGTATTGGCGAACTTATAGGAGTTGCGTTTGAAGTGACATACAACACATCATTTTTGTTGCACATTTGTCACGTCTCTATGCTAAATGCCCCGTCATACTTAAATTTGCGTCCGCATGTCTCTGGTAGAGCTATCAGAGGCATAACAATATCATGAGAGCTGGAACTCACCAGACATTGAAATCCAGAAAAGCTAGGTTGGAAAGATGACATCTTCTTGGTGGAAGGAACTCCGATTCACACAGCGCGAGTTCCCCTCCTGCTACACTATCTTTCAAAACAGGAGCGAGTTGCTACATCTGAGCCAGAAGCATATAGCAATACTTTGAGCTCTTGAAAAGCATCCAGACCTTGCATGTCCGCTCTAGCACGGGTGACAGCATGTAACGCGCTAACATAATGGATACTCATTACCTCAGTGCTGTAGTTTGATTATAATTCTAGCGCTCTAGGATGAGACGCCTTCTGATTTTACGCTTAAACCCTACGAGGCCTACGTATCTTCAATATAAACTAACGACCCACTCAAATGAATTGGAATGAACGCAAGGCCGCTTAAAAATATCAATTTAACAAAATCGATGTTCACGCATGTTTCACTGGGCATCGTAAGTCAAATTCCACGAAAGGACGTCACACGTTATGATGACGTCACACGACGGACATCAGACGGTATGTCTTGGGTGATGTGGAGTTCCTGACATAAGACCACGAATCTTACTTTGAAGGGAGACCTTGAGAGGTTAAGTCTTCTTGACAGATACTAGTTTATGCGCTGAGCACCATTCTAGCGCATACAAGTCCGTATCCAAAATCTAGCCTGAATCCCTGCTTGCGAATACCACTGTCAGGAGGCGTCTCCACGACGAGCAGTCCGCCCGGCGGCTCCTCAGCTTGGAAACGCCTCTGGGGAAGAAGGGCGTTCCCCAGCCCAGGCCCTGCTCGGATATCTTCTCAGCAGCTGGCCAGCTTCCCAATCCCTACCCATAGGCATTTGGCTGACACTGGCATCTTCCTGCTGAAGAATGTGACAGACAGACAGACAGACACAGACAGAAGGCAGGAAGACTCCGCCAGGAGCACTACTACCGCCGCACCACAACGCCCCGGTCACCACTGAAAATGAGAGCATCCGTCCGTGGACAAGACACGTGCTCCCCTCGCTAAGATAGTTGGCGTCATCCGCGGCGTCGGACGTCCCCGTGACCACCACGTGACGCTCCTAAGTGAACGCGTCTAGCATCGCACCCGGCTCCGGATCCAACGTAGTGACGTGTGCAGTTCCATCCATCGCACGCCGAGTAACCCCCTTTCATCGTGACAATCGCGCACGACGTGTGCCAGACAGTTTTGCTTCCTGAAATGATTCTATTAACCTCATTAGACCTTGGTCTCGATGGGAACGCGAGATGTCATTAACGACTTACCACATAAATGAGCACCTGCCATTCAACCCTCTGGGCGGCCGCCGCCATGAGTGGCCATGCACACAAGAGTTCTCCGCACTATCGTCTTGAATGGATGCGCCCCACCATTGGAACGCATTAGCTACGAGCATGTCTAACGAGCCGGGTGAAGCAGATGATTTTCTTCCCTTTTTCTGTGCAAATTTAGTCCGAACATTTTGGCTGGACAGATTTACAGAACCGGCGTTTATGCCAATAAGGGTGAGTTATATGAGCAATGACCCCGCCATCCGCTCGTGAAATTTCATTTCAGCGGCAGAATTATGTGCAGGAAGTTTTATGTCCCCAGATGTTTGGGACGGTCCACCTCGCCCTCTGACCTCATCAAACCTGAGCGGCCGCCGCCACCGACCGCAGACCACCACAGCCGTGAGCACTGAGCCAGCGCCGAAGCCACTCGAACCCACCCACCCCGCCAAAAGTGAGTTACAAGGCCGATGCTCTGACCGATGGAGGAGGTGCACGGCGGCACACACATCGAAGTACACTCCGAGGTCGCGAAGTCACAGCCGAACTACGCGGCAATCGCACAGCACTGTTCAACAACAGCAACACAGCACTGCTCAATTCTTCCACGTCGCGGATCTGCTGAGACTGCAGGCAACGGAATCTCAGGACATGAGCCCAAGGTCGTGCGTAACGCGTGTGTTTCGCGCACCCTGAAAGCGTTCTCGTGACCACGGTAGCCGATAACAACAAGGAAGGCTACGTGGTAGACAGCAGCGAATAAAATCCTAGCTTCTAGGAAACGAGGCTCGCACCAACCCACCTCTTCAGTAATCTGGAGCTGGGCTGGGGGGCGTGGGCATACCTCAGCATGGTCACGTGGACAGGACAGGGGCGCGGGCATACCTCAGCATGGTCACGTGGGCAGGACAGGGGCGAGGGCATACCTTCAGCATGGTCACGTCACGCGGGCAGGACAGGGGCGCGGGCGTACCTCAGCATGGTCACGTAGGCAGGACAGGGGCGCGGGCGTACCTCAGCATGGTCACGTGGGCAGGACAGGGGCGCGGGCGTACCTCAGCATGGTCACGTGGGCAGGACAGGGGCGCGGGCGTACCTCAGCATGGTCACGTGGGCAGGACAGGGGCGCGGGCGTACCTCAGCATGGTCACGTCGGGGCAGGACAGGGGCGCGGGCGTACCTCAGCATGGTCACGTGGGCAGGACAGGGGCGCGGGCGTACCTCAGCATGGTCACGTGGGCAGGACAGGGGCGCGTACCTCAGCATGGTCACGTGGGCAGGACAGGGGCGCGGGCGTACCTCAGCATGGTCACGTGGGCAGGACAGGGGCGCGGGCGTACCTCAGCATGGTCACGTGGGCAGGACAGGGGCGCGGGCGTACCTCAGCATGGTCACGTGGGCAGGACAGGGGCGCGGGCGTACCTCAGCATGGTCACGTGGGCAGGACAGGGGCGCGGGCGTACCTCAGCATGGTCACGTGGGCAGGACAGGGGCGCGGGCGTACCTCAGCATGGTCACGTGGGCAGGACAGGGCGCGGGCGTACCTCAGCATGGTCACGTGGGCAGGACAGGGGCGGGCGTACCTCAGATGGTCACGTGGGCAGGACAGGGACGCGGGCGTACCTCAGCATGGTCACGTGGGCAGGACGAACCGCTGAGCCATCCGTGACGGGGCACATGTGTCAGACTGCGCTGTACAAAGAGCTCGAGATCATCCTCTGGACCTGCGTCGCTTCCCACGTCGCTCCCAGATCGTCCAAAGATGTGTGAAACTATCACGAAGGCTTTGCTTCCAGAACTCGATGCCTTCAAAGATGCGTGAAACTTGTCGCGATCCGTGTTTGGCCGGGGACGTGCTATTATTGTTTCTCGCCAGGCAGCGCGCAAAATTGAAAAAGTCGCTGAAGAAATGTCATCGCAAGCAAATTCGTGAGCTGCATCGACGTCGTAACATCGTGGTGTTCTTTTCGTTTGTTTGCTGGATCTTGTTTCGCAGGGTGAAGGCCGCCTATTGTACAAGACAGTCAGGCAAATCCGACACTGATTCACAAATCTACCCCGAACCGTAAATCAAAGCTTCACTTAGCACGCAGCTTGAAATTAATACGGACAGAGATGCTGCTCCCCGTAGAAATTCGTTCGCTGCTCCATGCAGAAATCCGTTATCACTGGTGTTAACCTTCACACAACATGTCATACAGATTCTGATTATATGACGTCACTAATCACTTCGTCCCATGGATAAAAACGGCGTGACACCCTAATACGTGCGTCTTTCATGTTGTTCGGGTGCATCGAAACGCGTTTATTGCAACCTGAAAACTGCGGGAAAATCTGGTGGGCATTGCAAGGTCATGTTTACCACGCTGAGTATATATTGGGGCAACCATACGGCGTATCCATCGACAAAGGCTAGCTGCTTTCCAGCAAAATTCGAAATAACGGGCGCTCTGAAAATGATATGACTGAGACCTGAAGTTTTTGATTTCGTGGTAAGATTAGAGTGAAGCGTGACAACCACCTTCAGCGGATCAGCTCCCTCACGACTTTGGGTGACCCCTTCTTGATGATTGCCTAAATTCGCCACTTCGTACAACGCCGTTATTACTGCTCCCGCCTGAGCGGCGGGTTTCCCCTGGTTACAGGTACCGACTCCAATAGCATGTAACCACGGGAAGCCGCAACGCCTCAAGCATGAAGAAACGCTTCATGTGGGGACGAGGCGCTCTTGCTCAAACTTGTCACATGGACTTCAGAGTTTGCATGCGTTCATTTGAACGAAAAAACAACTTTTCCAGTATTCATGCCTTGCACTTTCCGAAACGCGTATTTTTCCAAACCTACTGATAACACACACCTTAAAAAACAATCGACGTATGTGGCACACACCACAGCGTTAGGGCGAGCCCACCACAACAGAAAAAATCCAATACGCACCTTCCAGTAGAGGACCCCCGTGCGCTCGCTGAGCTCCTCCATGGTGATTGGCTGCACAGGATCGGTTTTGTGGGGCAGCCTCTGGTCGTCGCCAGGACCCAACTCGGCCATGTACCAAGCCTGCACCATGACTGCCCTGTGATCCACAGAGAAAACCCTTTAGTGCAGAAGCCAACTGTAGTGCAACGCATCCCTACCGCAGTGCCTTTGAAATGGCGAAACTTCCTGCGGCCAAAGTAACTGCCAATGGTCCAACGGGTGGTCATTCCAAATGCAGGGTGTACGGAGCCAGCTTGGCCATGCAATATATATATATATATATATATATATATATATATATATATATATATAAGCAATGCAAGGACGCCAGAACACCAGGCAAGGCCACCTCCAACTTAGCGAAGCCTAACATGCTCCTATAAATCCAGAGATAATCAAAATTAGCCCTACCGTCTTGCATAGCACGTTGTTCCCCCCCCCCCGCACCACCCACCCGCACTGCTTCTGAGCTCCGCGCTCGTGGGTCCCCTTGAATGCTTCGGAAACCTCACGGCTGTTCCAGTTGCCTTCTGAAATAATCGCAAGCCCCGATCGTTTCTACGTTCACCTATACAGAGTTTCTGATACTTTCAGAGCCTCTTGACTCTACCAGATATTCTAACTGTTTAGGGTCAATATTCAATACCTGTGAACCTTGACCACCCTTGCTGCCACTGGCCCGCAACATGCTGGGGTCACTTCGCGCTTTGGGTATCTCCAGCTTTCTCGGTTTTTTCCGCACGCTCCTCCCAGTGTTTTTTTTTTTGTCGCTGGCCCCAGGCCCTGCCTTATATTGGATGAACATGTTGAAACTGTTGACCACTCGAGATCATTATCCTCCACTTCCCTCATCACTCCCAAGCTACGAACTTTTGGGCGCATTACTGTATTATAACCAGATTAGTTCCATGACAAAACTTTAAAATTTTGGCTGTCAGATCTGTCCAAGGCAATGGAACCCATCACGTTTCCAGTCTCTCAGACATAATTAAAATTAGGCTTCTATCACTTTTCCGAGGACTTCGAGAAACGTAAATGAAGAATGACCGTAGTGTAAGGGAATCATAGTCAGTCTTGTAACAAATCTCGTTCACAAGGATCATTTTATCTGTGACCCTGATAGGCTGAGCTGAACTAACCGGGAAGGACAAGTTCAACAACCGACAACCGCCAAGACACGCTCAGTTGGTAAAGCAAAAGAGTCGCAATCAGAAGACCCTGGTTCAAATCCCAGTGATTCTAAGGAGCCGATTCGGGACGTGACATATGCATGGCTGCAAGCCCGCCTTCATCCAGCCATTGGTAGGACTCCATAGTACCCGACGACAGCCGGAGAGTGAACTGATCGGAACATTGTGTACAAGCTAACACACCATGCGAGGGCGATAGTCTGAACGTAACTCCATCCGTGTAACTAATGACTTGTTTCAACTCTTCTGTGCCATTTATCTGGACTGCCCTCTCTGTGGAACTTGCGCGGACTATTTTGCGCCGCCTATTTTGAATGCGCCAAGAAATGTATGACGTCATAGGACGTCGCACGCATTCCGCTTCCTCAGTGGCCATATTGAGTTCGAGGTCAATGCAAATATGACCATTGGCTGAGTCGTGTCTGGAGAACATTAGCACTCCTACCAGGTCCCCACTTCCACCGGCAGAAGTCGACTTCCAAGCAGCTGAACGCCCTGAATGCAAGTGCCGAGCACATTTGGTTGTTTGGTCATTTGGTTTTTTTTTGGACTAGAGCCATTTCAGCCAGCAATAATCATCCCAGAACTATAGAATGGAGGAGAATGGATAAAGGTGGGGCAGAGCTACACGCACCTGGGACCCACCGCCGAAACCAAGTCCACATAGTGAGAGCTAGGACGGAACTAAAGAGAGATAAAGACTCTGCGGGGTGTGTGCTTAGCGCTTGGACGGGGATCCCACCAGGAAGCTGCTCAGCCCACTCATGGCTGGCGCATGCAGCCTGTCCCGGATAAGCGGGGCGTCGCAAGGATGCAGGATAAAGGAAGAACGAAGACGAGAGGGCCGGTATCTACAGCACAAACCACGCTTAGTGATAATCATACAGGCATTGGGCAGTCGTACTGGTTGACGGTAGACTCAAGACAGGAACTAAATGACGTAAGGAATGGTGTCATAACAGAGAATTGCAAATACAAATAAAGAACATAAAATCACGAAACACGTACATAAGACTACAATAGAAAATGTCACAAATGCCACCACACAAAAAAACCAAACCCACTCACACGCACACGCACACGCACACCACAGCACACCACCACACACACACACCACACCACACAAACATATATATATATTATACTATTATATATATAAGTATATATATACTACATATAGTATATATATACATAATATATATATATATATATATATATATATATAACGCTTGAACACTCTTTTAAACGGCTGACAACCTAACACAGCTTTGTGGCGCGTAGAAGTAGCCACAAGTGAAGTCAGGCCGTCCGCTACCAATCGACATTCTGACAAGGCTAGCCTGGCAGCGACTCTGGAAGTCATAACGCGCTCGAGGACGTAATCAAACGATGACGTATTGAGGAGCATATTTACTAAACAGTTAATTTTTGTTGTTTGGCAGGTATTTTGCACTGAGAGCATACCAGTAGCGGCTAGGAAGCCTTTTCCATCACATTTCATGCTTGCTTTAATGCCTTCAAATGTGGAACATGCCATTTACTGGCATGGATGGGGAACTTTTGCAATTGCAGCAAAAGTTAATTAACTCATCCAATAATTTGATTAGTTCCAAGGAGTTAAATATCTTGCCACCGGGGGGAGCGGCATGATCTTTTCACATACCAAAGCATTTCTTTTATTTTAAGCCAAACAAATCGAAAGTTGTGTACTTGACTACCCGGGAAACAACTCAGAATTATCCCATTAGGCCGTACCGAAAATTGCAGAGAAAAAAAAACTATACGGGATCTCCATTCTTAGTCAAGGCATGGCCTCCAAGCATGTACCATAAACTAAGCGTTAAACCTGTGTTCTCCATGCGCACGTCGCATGGGATTATCTGCAAACTAATTTTTACAGCATTCGGCAAATTTGGTAGCCTTTGACATAATCCAGGATCATAATGTTCCAAAGCGTAAATTATCGACCATGCCGCATCGATTGATAAAGGTTTTGTGCCGATCGGCTGCATAGACCGAGCATGGGGCTGTCCGCAGCGCTTTTTTTTTATTTCGGACGACTTTGTTCACCTTTGAGCTGACCCAATGTTAGCGTCACCTGGAGAGGATGGTTTAGTCATGGTGTGGTGTCGAATGGTAAAGGTTTGGATTTGATCAGTCCAATAGGCTCGGCGTAGATTACTGACGCCCTAATTTCATAATAATAAAGTTTTGTCTCAATCTGTTCCATAAGCTCGGAGCACGTGCCTGTCTAACAACTAATTTCAGGCAGTTATGGCCGATTTTGGACGACCTTTGACCCGACCCCAGGCCATCACGTTCTGGAAAGCACAGGTTATCGATTATTGGCGTATCAATTGGTGAAGGTGTGGTGCCTATCAGTTCCGTGAGCTCGGAGCATGGGGTTGTCTAGTAACTAATTTCGGGTGGGTCCGGCCGTTTTTGGTGACCTTTGACCCGACCCACGGTAACCATGTTCTGGAGAGGATTGGATATCGACTATGACGCATTGATCGGTGACGGTTTCATGCTGATTGGTACCACAGACTCGGAGCACGGGGTTATCCGCAGAAAACTTAGATGGTTTGGGGTCTTTTTTGGCTTTGACCTGAGACAAGGTCACCATGTTCTGGAAAGGGTAGAATTTCGGCTGTGAGGAGTTGCCCGCAGCCAATTTCGGTGGTTTTAGGTGTTTTACATGACTTTTGACTTAACTCAAGGCCACCATGTTCTGGATGGAACCAGGGATTTCAACTATGGCGCATAGAATGGTGAAGAATGGCGCAAAGGATGTTGACCGTTCCAATCCCCTAGGAGCGTGGTGTTGCGTGCAAGCCAATTTGAGGTGGTTTCAGCCGTTTCTGGTGACCTTTGACCATACTCCAGGTCGCCATGCCCCGCGAAGGATACGTTATCGACTATGGCACACCGATTGGCGAAGGTTTGGTGCCGATCGGCCCCATACTCGGAGCATGGGTTGCCTGCGGACTATTTTTCCAGTTTTTTTATTTTGGGTGACCTTAAACCTCACCCAAGGTCACCATGTCATGTCAAGACAAGTTATCGAATAAGCGGCGTCCATTTGCGAAAGTTTTATGTCGATCGGAGCTCGGATGCATGCCGATCAGTGTTCGGAGCTCAGCTGTCAACAGACCTGGTCGACCGTTTTGTCCCTCCCGTAGCATGGGGTCACCGAAGGACAAATTTCTGTCGGCTTCGGGCATCTTATCTTGTGGTATTAGGCCTGTGGCAAAACCTGTGGTATTAAATATAAATGGTTTAGCTCCTTCCTGATGTTATCATTGTTATGGGGCCTTGGTTTAGTCCCCCCCCCCCCCCCCCCCCCAGTAAATCCGGTATCGGCTGTGTAGGCTTCGCACCTACGCAGACTGTCTGAACGATCTAGAGCAAAACCCATGCAACATTTACACCCGCAGATACACAGGACATTTTAAAATATTTTTAGCATCTTCACTTAGTTGCATGCACCATATAACAACCGTGCATTGCGTTTTACCTCACACCGCCACGCTGCGCACCCAGCCCCTGCTACGCATCCACCGACACTCAATCCTGGCTTGCAGCAGGCAGCTATTTGGGAGAAGGTATAGGTCACAAACACTGTCAGCTGCTTGTGACGTCACAAAACCAAACGTTGCTGCAAACTTGATAATAGTTCCGCATGAAGCCGGATCACATGGGACGGAACCATACGGAATCAGACGAAGCTGAACAGAGCCGAACGGGATCGGACAGAGTAGGAGAGAACCGGATGGAACGTAATGGGGCTAGACGGACAGGATGGCTCCCGACCCACCCGATAGGACCAAACGGATTTCGAAGTATTCGAGCCAAACCGGATGGGATCAGACGATGTGCGACAACATCAGACGTGACTACTTGAAACTGGGTGGGATCAAACGGGACGGGACGGGGCCATGATAAAGCGCCTTGAGCCCAGACGGGACCGCGCAAGATCGGAAGAGACGGATTCCGACCAGACGAGGCGGTGCGAGCTCGGACAGTGTCGCACTATACCTGACCCGACTGGATTTGACTGGACGGAATCGGATGGGACTACACTGAACTAGAAAGGACAGATCATGACCGGATGGCGCCAAATGGGATCAGACCAAATCAGACGGAATTGGGCGGGAGCAGACGGGACCGGTCAGGTCCGTTCTGGTCCCATTCAGCTCGTCCTGTCCGTCCTGTGCTGTTCCTTTAGGTCACTTTTCTTGCCATCCGACTCAATCATCGATATGCTGGGCTGAAACGCGCATGCGATTATCACTAAGTTAACAATGATTTTGTTGTCAAGTGACGTCATCATACAAGGAGCTGAAGGTGTGAGAGAACTTAACGCCCATGCGCCAGTTTCGTGCATGAGTTCGTTTGTTTGAAAGGGTGGTTTGGCGAACCGTGGGTCTGGAGGTCGGTGATTGGTGTGACAAATACCAAGGCGGTGTGTGCTTACGGCAGGTTTCGCTACATAAAGCTTTCATAGTTTGCAGATTGTTTACATAAATAACCGTATGGGTGATTCGCATGCATAGATAGTTTGCCTAGAAGTCTGAGCTGCAGGAGACTGGATTCGTGGTTTACTAATGGGTTTGGCATGTTTTTTTTAAAATTCCCGTGCAGTGCCTTGTTTTCAAGTCAATTCTGGTATTGGATGGTTATGGTAATGGAACATACTATGTACTTTCATGTGTTGGATATGTGCAGATGCAGTACGTACTTGCTTTAGTGTTGTGACCTGTAATGATTCATATGAAAGGTATGTACAGTGGCCAGGGGTGTGGCTTTGCAAAATCATTTTGGAATTGACTGAGTGGGATAATGGGCTAAATTTAACCCTGAATTATTGTGAAGTATTGGTTTCTCATTGTATGTGGTCACCTCCTTAACACTGTTTGTGGGGCCTCCTTAAATGAGAAGCTACACCCCTGGTATCATACGTTACTACTCCTGGATTATTTCAGCATCAGTCCCTGCTCTTCTTTGGGATTCACCCTCTTACAATGTATCATTATGCAACTATGGCTGTAGTTAGTGCAGGGCTCAAGCTACGGTGTCTGCTGTTGAAAATAAAGCTGGCATGTATCATCAATTGTGTTTGTAAAATGGCATACACTGCATAATGGGGTGGCCTGTTATCAGAATATTGCTTCCTTATTTCATCATTTTTGTGTGGCAGTTATTGTTCCAAAAGCATTTGCTGTGAATAATTGGCAGATAGTTCTGTTTATTTTTTGCCAGAGAAAACATAAGCTGGTGTATGTTTCATATAGAATACCCATGAAAACACATAATGTAGTCAGCAATACCTGTTCAAAGCCCAGCTGGCTTTGTAATCCATTGCCTTGGAGGCCTTCAGTCTCAAAAGGTCAGCTATAGTATTGTCTCATTTAAGCAAAGGCTCATTGTAAACCCAGAAAGGATCCATGATAGTCTGCCATAGTCCAGGTTATGTTCTCAAAAGTGTCTACTGTTGTCTCAGAGAAGGCCTTTCATACCTGGAAAATATTTATCATAAACACAGAAGTGGCTCACAACATTTCAGGAAGGGATCAACATTATACTGGGAAAGTAAGCATGTCAGCCCCTGAGAAACTTATTTGATATGTTTGGCCTGGGAAGTGCTCATCCCTTATCAGGAAAGACCCCATGATAGACTTAGAAAGGGTCCCTCATCCAATGGCCCCCTATGGAAGCCTGTTGAACACTCCTAGTAGAAATTCAATCTCTGAGTCTTCATGACTGGGCCATACTATCTATGTGGTGGCTGGTGGCTGGCTGACATGCTGTGGGTGCCATTGTGGTCTCCATCTGGCCTATTCAACATCTAATGCCTTTGCAATCAGCTAGCCATTTTTTGGGAGGTTGCAAGCAACACAGGCACATACAGCATGAGGTGGTGCTTGTCTTAAATCCAGCTCTTTTAGTTGTGCTGGAGAGACATGCCTGGTTTCCAATGTTGTTTCCTGGATTCCACTTCCCCCCTTTGGAAAATGAGGTCTTAGATCCTTGGTTTCAGCTATTTATTTAATAAACACATTCCTGGTTCCTGGACCATTTTAATACTTTTGCAAAGACAGCACCCTACTTCCTGGCCCTCACCAGTTCTTTGGAAAATACAAAGATGGGCTCCTGGTTCCCACTGATTGTGTCACAAACACCAGAAGCTAGTTCCTGGTTTGTGTGAGCTTTCCACCAGTGCCAGACTGTGGTCTCCCTAGTCCCACCAGTTCTGTTACAGATGCTGGCCCATGGTTCATGGGTCCCACCAGTGATGTGTTTTCCAGTATTTTATCATGGTTAACTGTTGTCCTTTTTTCATTTGATTTGAACTCAACCTTTATCCCCTTTGACTTTTAGCTTGTCATCTTTTTGTTGTTAGACTTTTCCTCAATTTGGCCTTTGCCCCTGTTGACATGCATCCCTATTTACTTGCTGTGCTTGAGTTTTGTCTGCTTTGACTTCCATTCCCAGTAACTTCCAACCCTTTTCAGGTATTGTCCTTGTAGTTTTTCTACTCCCTTTATCCCTGGGGACTCTGTGTTGTTCAAATTGTTTGCGCAGCAAAATGTGGCACAGTCATTGTGATTTTGAAAATTTCTAATTCGTCATCAGCCTGTGGTTATTTGCACCACAAACTGACACAAAATCACATCAAAGAACAGTTATATGCAAAGATACACTATTTAGGGTATCTACATGTTTTAGCAGTACCTTTCAGTTGGTTGCACCTTGTTTGACATTGTGCAGTTTTTCAGATTCTGCTTGTGTTGTATTGCTGGTCACTACTTGCCATCAGCTATGGGCACCATGCATTTTGGTGGGCTTTCAGCTGTATCAGTGCTGGTTTTCTTCATTCAGACAGGTAAGGGTCTAGTTGTCAACATGTGTGCAACATGTATCATATTTGATCACAGTAGCCGTTCAAATAATTATCACTATATTTCTTGTTCCAGCATTGCAATGCATTGCATTACCAGTCGCATGTTTCCAGCACTTAAAGCTGTGAGTGTACGAGAGTGTACGTTAAGCGGAACATGTTGCCTTGTGAGAGGCATTGGTCGGCGCAATGACTGGGTAAATGGCGTCTTCAGCTTCCACCCAAGGGGCCAGATGCCAACTCTGGTCGCGCCCAGGGCTCCAAGCGTTAGAAGGTCACTGGAGTCTCTACAGGCACTCGCGGTCCATGAAAGAGTGCGCGACGATGAACGACGCGGTCCTTTTTATGAAAAAGAAGTATTTCAGAGAGCTCAACAACTCTTTTCATGAGCATTGCGTTCAAAGTGCGGTGTAGAGTAGCTCCTCAGTTTTAATGATCATGTGGACCAGTGGCGTGTCCAGGATTTGGCAATGGGGGGGGGGGGGGAGGGGAGGGGAGATGGTTGCACAACTCGAAAGCTTTCACTCAAAACTTGGTTGTGTTTGGCAGGCGTGTGAAGCTTGTTTCATGCAGAAACAACATTGCATGTTCTTGGTGACTTTATTTCTGTGCATCTTCCTTGAGTGGTATAGTGTCAACATTAACGAGATCTCGGTGCTGGTAATAACTTTTTATGCTGCCAGGGCAGGCATTGACCTTGTTACACCAGGTCAAAAGTCAAATTGTCCTGAAAACTGGCGTTCTTCACCTGTCGGCCTGCAGAGCGTCATGGTCTTATGGTGTCGGCTCGGATGCGCTGATTCGTGAAGGAACTGTGAGATGACTCGAGGCTCCCGAGCCGGCTGTGGAGACCGATGCGTCATATGAAGTCCTCCCGAAGCGGATGGTCTTCTGCTGGTGTCGCATCGGGCTCGGTCCCTGGCCAGCCGGTGTTGGCGTCGCCTGACCGCGCTCTGTTTTCAGCGGCCGCTCACGAGTGTTACGTGTGCGTCGGCCAGGCGGGCAACGGCGGCAAGTGCACGGAGACGGTGGCGCTGTGCGAGTACGAGGAGAAGTCCTGCATGACCACCGTCAGCTGGGGGAGTGAGTGCGGGCGCACGGCGGCCGGACGGACGCCTGCCGCTGGACGGGTGCACCGTGCCGGTGTGGACGCGGGAGACTGGAGGGAAGCACCGTAGCACTGAGGGCGTCCGACGCTAGACAGCAGCACACAGGGCGGCGGTGCGGATATCTGACTGGGGACAGGTCAACAGGGACACGCTGCAACGGTGTCGGTACTAGACACGGGACAGGCCGCTTTAAAATGTAGCTACTCGACCCTGGACTTACCACTGCTTCAGCGTGCATACTGGGCTCGGTGACGTTACAAGCCTATGGCGATGATGCAGGTGCTTACACGGCAGCAGTCAACGTATTGAATACTTGACACTAGTACAATGGTGGTGTGCTATGAGTGAGAGTGTTCAATCGACAACGTAATAATAGGCAGGACCTGACTAACGACAAAAAGTGCACAAAGTCGTGTGCCCATCTGTCTGACGTCTGTTGGCCCGCCTGCGGCTACCTGTGCGGCTGCTGTGGGTGTAAGGGTGTAGCTGTATGCGTGGGTGTGGGTGTGGGTGTGTCCGTGGGTGTGTACGTATGTGGATGTGGCCGGCGGCTGCTATGTGTGTTTGAGTGTGGGTGTGTGTGTGCGTGCTGTGCGCGTGCGTGCGTGACGCGCACCGGTCCGTCCGCAGGCACCCCCGGTTGGCGGCTCGGCGTGCCGATGATGCACTTTGTGTCGAAACAGTGCGCCACCGACGTGCAATGCGAGAGGATGCGCATGCGCAATATGCCGTTCTGCACGCGCATCTCGTACGAGGACTGGCGGTGCACCTCCTGCTGTAAAGGCGACCGCTGCAACTATTACATCATCGTGAGTTCGTCGGGCCACCAGCACGGGTTTACGGCTGTTGGCGTGGGTCGACGGTGATGTGGTGCGAAGTTCTGCTGGAGTCGGCTCTCGCGATGGGGAGTGGGGTCCCAGAAGTGGGAGGCGTGGGTGGATGGGGCACGGGGCCTAGGTACTGTGGTTGGCTTGAACCTGTAAGTTACGGCCACGTGCTGCGTGTAGGCGTCACTGTGGAAATGTTATGGTCTTGATGGCCCGGGCCGTGTGAGAGCATTCATGTATTTGTTCGAAAAGACCATACATCCGCTCGTAATATTGGCTAACGACGTGCCTGTCGTACTAAGTAATCAAATGGAAGACACCTGTGAGGGATGTGGGCAGGACGTTGTGTAGATGGGCGAAGTTGGGCGGGAACCCATAAATTGTTGGCAGCATGATTGTATAGGCTGGAGCTTGGCACTTCTATATATATATAACTGGGCGACCCATCAGCTGCCGCTGCGGGTTATGTGGCGGTCCGCGGCGGCACCGCACGATCTTTCCCGCGGTCGCCTGTCGCCTGATCTGCCAGCCCCCGTGCATGCCGTGTGTCAGCCGGCCGTGGTGCCGTGCTGACCTGACCCGGGCCTCGCGCTGCAGGACGGCGCTGGGTCGCTGCAGGCGGCCGTCTTGCTGGTGTCGGCCTCGCTGGGCCTGCTCGTGCTGCACGGCCGGCTGTTGTGAGCGCGTCGCCGCGGCTCAGCCGCCTCGGCCACTGCCGCGTCACACCCGGAGAGGCCCTGTGCGCCGCCGCGCGGCGTACGTGAAGCCTCGGGCGTGGTAGTGCCATGTGCGCAATGTGCAGTGGTGTATGGGACGCTGTGAGAGATGCTGCTTGGGTGGATATATGCCAAGTGGCCCTGCCGGAGGGATGGAATCTCGTGCTGTTGTGACGTATCTTTTTAGCTTTATAGCTGGTTGTACCTAGCGCATCGCTTTAGACATAGTCCAGCCTTCTATGTTTCAGTTATGCCATCATTTTATTCCATGGCTTAACTTGTGCATTCATACGTCTGTTTGGTGCCTTCTGTCAATCTATCCATCGGCTTTTGATCACATTTTATCTCCGCCGTCATTCCATGCGAAGATTTTGTGTGCTTACTGCATACATCCTGAAACGATAACGGCATTGAGTTGTCGATGGTCCGTATGCTTTCTCTGTGAAATGTACTACGTTGAATGGAAAAAGGCGATAGAACGTTTCATCGCACGGCACTGCGTCCAGCTGCAATAGTTTCGCGCACGAGAGCAGCTTATTTACCATCCAGTTTGCAACTGAATGTGTTACATTCCATTGCGATATAGCAAGTCTTGCTACAAACTCCCCTTTGAAATTTCGATTTCGAGGTAAAGCACTGGGTAAAAAATTACTTTTGACGGGGAGAAATAGCTGAGTCGTACGCGTGGAGAACTCCTGCACGGAAAGCCCGGGTTTTATCCTCGGATAAAGTCATTGCCTCCTGGCGTTTGAGCGCCCGTTGGTGATGGCACGTCGTGTCTGTTAAAACTGTTATTGTGCTCTTGCCAGAGAACTGGCGTGACACGTCGCGCATGCGGATTAGTGCGTTAGTGTTTTCATAGTCTCTTTACAATAGCGTGTCACATTGTCTTACGTGCTCTTTGTCTCTGCGTATTTACCTCGTGCGTGTGTTGAAGCCTCGTATTTCTGCATATTGTATCGGCGTATTTATAGAAAGCGCCATCAGAAGTCTCGAATGAACATTCCATCTTCATCACATTGAAACCTAGATGTGCCTGCTCATCACAGAACCGTCCAAGATATACGCGATTGGTAGCTGAGTGTTGCACCGAAGTCGCGACATTCGCGAGTTCAGCCGTCTCGGCCCGAGTATGTGTCTCGTGAACATGAACATACCTGAGGCATCTCGTGTGAGGCGTACCGTGTGTCGAACAAATGAGCGCTGACGATGCATTCTTCAATGTGCGCTCGAATACACGGTGTATTCCAGTTGCATGTGCGTTTACTCATTTTTTAAGGTATATGCTGTCGTGCAGTGGAAGTATCGGAATTGAACGGACAGGGAGGAATAGTACAAATACAACACCGGAAGTTCCGGAATTGGACAAATACAATTGACAATATGACACATTTGACCCACATTTGACACACGAAGCATATACGAACGCATTGCATTGGTATGGTGGCTCAGTATACGCAGCTCCTCCCTCCGTGGCGGGCAGCAGAGCTCAAACGTTTCCTGGTCCCAGCCGCCATCTTGTGCGGGAGCTCACGCTACAGTGTTCGAATTCCTTGTGCTACATTTTTTACGCCGGCTCAAATGCTGCCTACCTCGAGACATTCACCTTCATTGTGGTCCGTGTGGGCTCAGTAGGCGCAATATGTGAGTTGCAAGAATGGTCTCACTCCTGCGCGATGGGCACCTCCACTTCAGCTAAAACTCTGGGCTGTCTCCTAAGCATGCTGACAGCAGGCGAGATCCGGCATGATATTTTGGTCCCCACACACAGGATTCATGAACGGAATGAACTGTTGCTGATGCATACCGAAAAAATACGTTTTACCGTCTAGGGCAATTCTGGTTGAATAGAAAAACGGCTCAGACTCACCATACTCCAACCAGATTATCAATTTTTGTCGCACCTGCTTTTTGATAAATTTTTAACTTCTGGAGATGGAGACGTCGGCAAAGCTGGCATGTGATTCGAACAATTACATATTCAACACAAACGACGAAGTGCGGATCATTTCTTTTTCCTTGAAACTCTGGCATGGTATACAAGTGAGACCTAGTCACATCCTGGTAAAGTCATGGACTCACATCTAATATTTCGGCCGTTTTCGGTTGTAGAAACTCATTTCTCCGCAGGGCTCCTCTAGAAAATGTCGTTCTTTGCAAATGATGTTCCCCAAGCATAGAACACACCATCACATAGCATCTTCTGAATGAAGCCGAGGGTTTGATAGACAAATGCTGATAACTTCTGTCAAAAATCGATGTCTGAGATCGATAAGTGCCGTTCTACGACTCTCTTGAAACTCCAGCAAAATGGGCAAAATCTTCGGGTCCCTCCTGTCATATTTCTGTAATCAGCTATTTCACTGTCAGCCGATAGTGCCCCACCAACGCTACCGTGTGCACATGGCTGCCGCGCGAGGCCAGGGTGATTTAAATTGAACACCTAACGTCACCAGCCGCCGCTACGGTCGGTTGGCCAGGGTTGAATGAAACGCTTTCAGGGGGCAATTAAATAAAATGGATGTCATGATCGCACAAATGTACTGTACCGGCAGCCGATAACCTTACAACAAACACATTGCATGCACAAGGTCGCACCCTTCGGCGCGATTATACGCATTGTTCCGCGGCTGCAGCATGCTGGCCAACACTGGCCGGCTGCATTAAGCCATACGCGGTCAAAACGTGAGTTGCGCGAAAGGTCATTTTCGCCGATGAGCGATTTACATTACTGATCGCTTGTACCCCGACAATGAAACCCGTGTATATGGTCTTACCGACTGCGCGCGGTTGAATGGATTTTAAATTGGACGCCGCTCTTTGCCAAGTGCTGCCGCGGCCGGCCCACTATCATTGAGAGGGCACTGTAGGCGATGGGGGAGGGGACGCGGGCGACTAAATAAAATCGATTTTCTGATCAGACAAGTGTGTTGTACAGACAGCTGCTAGCCCAATAACACCGTTATTGACCAAAAGTGGCTTAGATTTGACACCAAGTGTTGGCAAACCGCCGCTGCGGATGTCAATCCAACACTGGATGGGACTCAATCCGGGTGTCGACCGAATATAATTTATTCCCTAATCGGACAAGGGTGTTGTGCTGGCAGCTGACGCTAGTATTACCCATTGAACACCGTCGCATCCTCTCCGCGCGATTTTGGGTATTCCTCATGGGCCCCCGTTTACTGGCCATCACGCTACGGGCACGCCGGCCGCAGATAGCGATGGGCCATCAATGGATGATATACCGAAAACTCATGTCGACCAAAAGGTGATTTCTATTGCCGGTCGATATTGGTCCCTCATTGTCATCATGGGCGCTTCAGCTTGGTCGCACCTGCCACGCACGATTACCATTAGACGTATTGTTAAGTGGACGCCGTAACTTTGCAAACCCTCACTGTTGCCAGCCAGCATTGAGTGGATTGCGGTGGAAACTCTTCGGACGTGCTTATTGGTATTTTCCCGTAGGCTGGCCATTACCGTACATGTTGGCCGGCCGCTGTTGGGAATGCATAGCCAGGTGTGACTTGAACAAAAAGGTCACGTGGGCCAATGAGCGATTTACATTGCATCCGCCGCGCACAACTAAAGGTATTTTTAATTGGATGCCGTAGCTTTACAAATCGTTGCTGGGACCGGCAAACCACCATTGAATGAGATGCTGTTGATGGGTTGACGGAATGAAATGGATATCTTATCAGCTGTATTGGCGGCTGACAGGGCTATAACAGCGCCATCGACTGAACACAGTCGCACTCTTGACGGGCGATTTCAAGTATGTTTTCAAGTCCATCGCATGCTGACAATGGCACGACGGGTCGGCCGGTCGAAGTGAAAAGTGTGCCGTCGGCGACTATTTTTGACAAACATGATCATGCCGGCCGATGAGCAATTTGCCTTGAAGGCCGACTGTGCTCCGGAAATGATGTGTGCTCATCGTCGTGCCTGCCGCAAACGACTAAATCTTTTCTGGATGGGATGCCGTAACATTGCAAATCATCGATGCAGCTGGCCTGCCAGAATTGAGTCAAACGCCGTCAAGGGTTCTACCGAATATAATAGATTCCGTAATCAGACAAGTGTGCTGTACCAGAAGATGATGGCCCTGCCCAACGCTATCAAATGCACAGTCACGCTCTTCACGTTGGATAAAGAATGTTTTCCTGGGCTGCCGTTTTCTGGCCATGATGCTACAGATTGGACGGTCACAGATAGCAATGCGTCATGCTGGGCTATTTAAAGAACAAAATGTCAATTGTAGGGATTTTCTTGGTAAATAATTTATTTTGCCCACCGATGGTGCTCCGCAATGAGACAGCATACGCATTGTTGCACCCTCCGCGCACAAAGAAATGTACTTGTAATTGCACGCCGAAACTTTGCAGATTGCCACTAGGGCCTGCCAGCTAGAATTGAGATACGCATTTGGGGTGGACCAAACCGAATGGAAACCACAAGCTGACAAGTGTGTTGTACTGGAAGCTGATAAGCTTGCATGTGCACTGCCGAATGCACCTTGAGGCACTCTTCGCATAAGAATATCAGAATTATTCCCTGAATTTCAACCACATGTGCACGAGAGCACACTGGGTGCGGTATCTGCTGGCAACTCGGTGGTAGGTGGATATTACCTATCTGGTTCGCATGATTCGGTGCCTGGGCATCGTTGGATGTGGCAGGCCAGTCGGTGGCGTGATGGCCAACATGCGATAAACCGAGGAAATGCGAATTAGATTGCGCAGAGTACAGCATGTGGGAATCACAGCGCTGCTGTATGGCTGTTCAGCTGGTACTGGGATATCTTTGCTGGCTGGCCGCAGCCCATTTGATTGCGTTCACATCCTGACAGTGCATCATTCAATGCTGGTGGGCCTGTCGTAGCAACGATTTGCAAAGTTCCTGCGGTCAGTTCAACTTGCTTATTGCCGTGGGCGGCGTTTCGAATACGTGCACACGACAGCACGGTGGGACTGCTACCCGGCGGCGACATAATTCGTTCGTCAATTGACAATATTTTTCAGCTCTTTTGGCGCGTTATTGCATGTGGCCGCTTTGCTGGCAGCGTCGGGGTCGAATGTCAGTCCATGAAAAATGCTGATAATTGCGTGCAAAGAGTGCGACCGTGCGCCTTTGGTATTAATACCGCAAGGCTATTAGCTGACAATGGATCATGTCTGTCGGCAGACGGCTTCCATTTTATGGGATTGATACCTTGACATCACTCAATGCTGCTGTCTGCCTGCAACAGTCATTCATAACACACAGCCATCAATGGCTTTTTGTGGGCGGCAGTTGCGCCTGAGTGCACGTGATAGCACTGTGCGGGGGGGGGGGGGGCTATGGGCGGAAACGTAAATCGGGCGTTGGCAGACAATGTCTATTTTATTCATGTAACTCCTGACGACCCATTCCTGGATGTGTGGCGCGCCGCGTATCTGTGCGCCGCGGGCCACATGCTGTTTCTTAGTGCAATTTCGTTATTCTTACGACGTGTGTATTTTTGTGATTCACGGGACGGGACTGAATGCGTTAGCTTCAGATGTGGCGCGCGGCGTATCTGTCCGCCGCGGGCCACATCTGGATGCAGCCGTCTGGGACGACAGTATGGCGGCTAGTATGCGGGAGCCCAAGAAAGACAATCATAATCATCGTGCGGGGAGAAGTCGTTTATGAAAACATGCTTATCAGCTGACGGCATCCATTTTAAAAGTGTTCTTGACTCTCTCTCTCTCTCTCTTTTCTTCCCAATCTCTCACAAATCTACTGGCGCCAGGTGCCAGTGGGCATTTTCAAAGATACAGTGGCCAGCGACACGTCAAGGCACTGGGGAGCACTTTTGACCAGCAAACCAAATTGACAGCCGACCAACAAAAATATAAGTTGTTTACGTGCCCCTGGCGGCGTATTACTGAACGTGGGCGGCGTGACTTAACCCACTGCTGCCATACTGAAAGAACAGGTTAACCACACCATGCAAGTTGTATGGTGAGTGCGTAGGAGTTATCGTTTATTCCTTATCTCCGCGTAATGCGTTTCACATGTGTAAAGTTTTACGATGCGATCATTTTCTACCTGAAACCCGGCCCAAAGTTACAAAACTGATGTGTAATAGGAATACCACAGTCTGGGTATTGAAATGGGCGCGCCTTAAGCCCAAACTATCATTATCATAACAGAGCTGCAAAATCTATGCATGAAGCATGAATGTTTGCGCGAATGGTCTAGCGTTATCTGAGCATTAATTTGTCAACATGAGTATGTTGTCTCCATTAATATGTAGGGCCATCTTGGAACCTTTGATTCGTTCCTAAGTCATGAAATGAAAAAGCCTCCAATAAATTTCACTTGCGAAATATTTGGGTGTGTTCTATTGGTGTTGCAAAGGTAATTTCAGAGCATGGGTTTGCATTATCGTATGTCAGCAAAGCAGACCCACCCGTATGATTCAGCCAGCTGATGTATTTTGTCTTAGCTGCGGCAGAACCGTATGTTTGTTTTCTTCTTCTATTACAGGCACGCAAACCGGGCGTCAAACGACGGCCTTGCCACATAAACCTGGCTGCGGTCTGGTGGGAACATATGCTACCTGTCAATATTAGGGTGATGTGAATGTAATTCGGGTGAGGTCAAGTATGATATATGTTGGTGTCTAGCATCACATCATAGCGCCGGAGGGAACAATTTTATTGGGTACACGATGTTTAAGAATTTAAGGAAGAAAATAGCTGAAGAGGTTGGGCAGCCAGCTGCGCGGTTGCCTGTACAACAATTATCGCAGGTAATAATAATGCGGGCATGTTGCCATGTTTCAGAATTGTAGCTTTATGAGCCATGTTTTTCTCCAATACCTTTAAAGGGTGACAACATTATCTGGGATGTCTTACTGAAATTGGCAAGGATAGGTAATGTTTATTCATGGATTGTTATTGGATATTCATCATTTATGTTAAGTGTTTGCTGAAGTTTTGTCAGTATTCTCCTGTTTTAAGACAAGGGATGTGGTGTTTTATTTGGCACTAGCACATAATGTGCATGATGAGTAGTAAGAGCAGCTGTAAATAAACTGTGTTGCATTGGATGCATCATAATGAACCTGTACAGGCTGAGGGTGAAGCCAGGAATGTTCTTAGGAGGGGTCAGAGCTTAGTAAAAATGCATTGGATTTATAAGACATTGGATTTCAACAATATACCAGGAGCCATGTTGTGACCATTAGTTTATACTTCAAGTTGCATGATCCATGCTGTAAATTGAGCAGATTCATTACTTGTAGTGTCAGCATGAAGGCTAAGGATAAACCATTGCTTTATTTTATTTTTGGTATGTGTACCTGTGTTAAGCTGTGCATATTGCATCAGCTCTGCCCCAATATCTGATTGTAAAATTCCAGGTCAAGAGCATAGTTGTGGCAAAAACTTAACCTGCCATAATGTTTGGCATAGTCCATCCTACCCTTCAATGTCACCTGATCTTCACATTGCCAGTGCCACCAGTCACAGGTCATCCTAGTGCTGGTCAAATAATTCACATGATCTGTATGTGATTTATATGTCATGTGGCACATCATCCACTTGCATCAAGTGCATCTTTTAAGGGCGGACGAATACCAAACGTCGTGCCTGATAACCACCATAAAATTACCTTAGAGCTAAGGGACATGTGAACACAACTTATATGAGCTTGTATAATATTTTGAAGAATTGCATTCCTAGGTGCAAGTGGCTTAGTAGCAGAATGTTTGGATATTATTAAATATCTTCTCTTGCATGTAACCCTTTCTTGAAAAGTTGTGGAAATTTTTGCTGATATACATTATGCTAACAACTTTTGTATTTATTCTCAATTGTGGGCCATGTTCTCTGCACATATGTGTTCATATATGCCTGTTGTCTTTTTCTTTCACAGGTGTCTGATTTCTTGTGTTTAGACAACATGAGGACTATTCTGTGAGCCATTGAGCACTTCTGTTACATTTGTTGACACTGTTTTTGACAGTTGATTTCAGGGGACAACCGAGATGGTGCAGGCCTGGACAGCAGCGCCTTCACCCTAGATGATGATGGTAAGAGGAGATGCTCTAAAAGCTTGTCTTTAGGCTGTATCAGTCACTGACCTCACTGTCCTTGATGAGTGGTTTTGCCATATAGCTGTCTTTTCTAAAATTGCACATGGAAATTAGCAAGCAACATGTGTGCGTGCGTGCGTGCGTGCGTGCGTGCGTGTGTGCGTGTGCAAATGGTGTGTGTAGTAACCAGTGCAGGACTCAAGCCACGATCATGTCCGAATGTCTGTCACTGCTGCGGCCGTCCGCGACGGCAGTGTGGCGCTTCACGTGACCCGCGCCGCGCCAACAGCCGAGTCCCTGGCGGCCGAGCCGCGGGGCGCAGCGGCCTCGCTGACGGCGGCCACCACGGCCGGCGCTCGCCTCCGGCAGAACTCGACCGCCTCGTCAACGGTCAGCGAATCGCCGTATCATCCGGCCGCTCGCCGGGCTGCACCCCACGTAGGTAGCTCGGCCGCGCCGCACTGCTGCACCGCTGTCCGGAATGGCGTGTAGTCCGCCACGCGCCATGTTGCTTCTGTGCTGTAGCCATCTGTGTGTGCTCCGCCACTGGTCGTGTTTTTGGGCTTCCACCCGGAATGTGAGTGGTTTCGCCACTCAGGATGTGTGTACTATGGGGACGTGGGATGTATGTTGTCACATCATCCGGGAGGAGTTGTGTGGCCACGCCATCCTGCATGCATATGACCCCGCCAACCACGTGCGTCGGCAGCTCTGCCCTCGCATGCACGCAGTGTCATCTCACGTGGCGATGTAGTCAAGCCTCGCTCTCACTCTGTGTTCAGGCCCCAATCTTGAAATAGATGGCGGCAGTGTGAGGCATCCTCCCCACCCTCGCTGATGCTGACGCCGGCCAGACGTGGGCCTCCGGGCTTTATCGGCGATAACGGGAACGGTGGTGATTTCGCTGCACGAGGCCGGTCCACGGTCGTCCTTGGAAGAAACACGAGACCACGGATATTGGTTTTATTTGGATAAATGACTTTGGATTATGGCTCTCAGCTGCCAGGCGTCGAAGTAATGGGTTCTGCGTACGATCGTGGAATTTGCTCTGAATGATGGGTCCTGGCAACGAAAATGTAATGACTTCATCAAGAACGCATCCGACATGGACGTTGGTGCGAAAGAACGTCTGGAATGATGTCTAAAACGCTTTCCCAACACTTCATCTCGTGACGAATTTGGCGGCATTTTGTAGCACGATCTGTCAGCCCATTAAATTTCCAAGTAAGTGGGCGACCGCAATGAGTAAAGCCAAGATTTTGGGTAATAAGTCGACTGGGGTGCTCCTGCCCCAGATGGCCCGTCGGGGTTGTTATGTTCTTTACCGTTGTTGGCCCCTCTGGCCAACAGTTGTTGTTCTGTCTAAGAATGCCAGTTAGTTTTCAGTTGATACAGTTTTATGCTGTCCGAAATACATTTCACGGTTGCGTTTGCGGCAATTGTTGTGATGGTTGAACCTGTCTGTAGATGTTTTGATAGCGTGTTTGTATACTGTAAACAACGATTGGCTCGTGTATTCCCAGTGTGGTGCGTGTGGATTCTCCACGATTGCAAGGTAAATTGTTTGGGCTAGCAACGTCGTGCTTGACGCATACCCAGTTGTTTCGTGAAATGCCGTGAGCTAACAACTAATTACACGCGCAAGTCCCCAGCTCTTTACGTTTAGACAAGATTTGCTCTCTATGTCTTTATAATGCACGCAACACTTTACCAGCAAAGAGACCCTGTGTGACTTGGGGCGACCGAGATGATAACATGCAGAATATGGACCAATTATCACGGTGTAGACGACGCCAAACTAAAGCCAGTGAAGTCAGACGCTTGAAAACCCACATAACTGAATATGACTGGGTATGATGATATGATATGAGGCATTTGCCAGTACAGGACGTTGATTTGCCAGTACATATGCCACCAGAGCTGAACAGGGAAAGGCCCGCTGACACAGCGTTTTCGTACTCATTGATCAATGGCGCGGTGCAAGTTCTTCGGAAGTTGAAATGGATGTAGATGTGGAATTCTGTGAAGTCGATGACTTTTTGGTGTTAACATCTTAGGTGACCGCCCCAAGTGGTTGTGAAAAATGAAAATATGTTGAGGGGGATGCTGGTCGCATTTAGTTAGCCTATGCGTCTCTGCAGTTCTCACAGTCAGGCGCCCCTCAGTTTACTTAATGAGGTTTGGCATTTGTGGTCGGTTGAAGTCGCATTGGCCTTTTCCTGGTCGATAACTGATGTACTTATGAGACAGACAGTGATCAAATCATGTAATTTTTTATGGTAGTCGCCTGCATTTTACCTATTGTGCGCATTCCAGTGATGCGGAGAAATCACGCAGGGTCAAACGCGTTGTTGACGAATACGTAAATGCACGATGTCTTTTAAATGCACCAACTCGGTGTTTTGTAAAACGCTTGCAACGCTGCTGAGTAGGACGCAATTTATTTGGAGTTGGACTTATTGACGTTGAAAAAACGCGGAAAGGCTGGATCAGTGGTTCCAAAAATGCCGACTTCTGGAAGATGTGAAGACAAGTCAAAAGCTTTCTCTGCCCAAGTAGGACCCTCTCGTTCTGCGGCCTCGCCCGCACGTAGCTGGCGCATATCGAAGAAGCTCCTGTGCGTAACAAGACTAATCCACTAATGGTAACCTGTTTTGTAGTGTTTGTATGAGCATTCACAAACTGTGTTGGCATAAAACCGTGTTTCCGGGTGCCTGATACGCCTGCTTTGGCGTGCAACCTGTGCAGTGCTGAGTGCGTTGTTTTAAAGTCTCGCGTCTCCGTCCTTCACCCCACCTCATAGCGGAGTGTGCGTCCCGCCCCGTGACCCACTGCAACCGACCGGATTCCTCCGTGTCGTGCCGGTGCCGTTGCACGACCGGCTCCCGGCGTTCACTTGCCTGCGCGTCGCTGTCGGCATAAACAAGTCGCTAATCTGGCGGCGAGCGTCGTGTCTGCACACGTGCTCGGGGACACAAGTGTGCGAGAACCGTGCGGCGCCCCTCCCCGAGCCGGCGGCCAGAGTGGTGCGATGCGCCACCGGCAGCGCCGCGCAGCCGGCGGCGCCATCCGACACTCGGCACGTGCCCGCTCCCATTCCGGCCGCCAACTGTGACGGATCGCGGCGCGGTGCGACGACGGCTGGTGAGGCAGACATTGGACTGCGGTGTGTCCGGCGCCACTGGGGCCGCCGCCATGGGCTCGCCGGGAGGCGGCCGGCCGCGGGCGCTGAGCGAGGCGCCGCCCTGGCCGCTGGTTACGTGCCGCCTGACCGGCCCGCAGATGGAGCTCGAGTCGGGCAGCGAGGTCAGCTCGCTGGTCGGCCTCGGCGCCGTCTCCAAGGAGCAGATGTTGCAGAGCTACCAGCGCATGCGCGCCAAGTACAACAAGTACCGCGGTCGCTACACCGACCTGGCACGCGCCTTCCACGCGCTGGAGAACGACAATGAGAAGCTGCGGGTGAGTGGACGCCGCCCGGGCGGCCGGCGGTGGCGGCGCGAGCCCCTGACGGCAGGCACGGCTGCATGTGGGACTTGGATGGCATGGCGGCGGCGCCCGGACCCGTGTAGTCGTCTGGTGCTGGTGCGACCGCTTGTGATCCGGGGTAGCGGTATGTGCGACAGGGCTGACTGAAGTGCTCTCGTGGTCAGCTGTGGGCGACTGAGCGCGCTGTAGAGGACTGGCTAACAATTACTAACACTGTTCGACGAGAGCCGAGGCGGTCCGGTGCCGGGCCCGGATCGGAGACGGCGCGCCGGTCCGTCCTCGTGTGCGCGTGTGGCCTGTCGCGCCGGTCGCACCTCTGGTGCCGGAGCTAACCACTAATCGCCGCTGGGGTCGGGCCGGCCGGCCGCGCGCTGACGGCACCCCGCCCCCGGCCAGGCCACGCAGCGCGAGACGGAGGAGCGCGCGCAGCGGCGCGCCGCTGAGCTGCGTGAACAGTGCGCCCTGGAGCAGCAGGCCAAGGCGCACCTGGAGGAGGCGCTGCGCACCGACCTCGAGGAGCGCGACGAGCTGGTCAAGCTGCTCAATATGAAGGTAGCGGTCATCTTCCAGAGCGGGCGGCAGGCCGGCGCTGTAGCGGGGTGGGGCCGTGGGACCGTCGGCTTTATCGGGAAGGGGTCCAACGATGACTAGTTTTGCAAGGCTAACGTTGAGAGTGTGAAGCAGGGAAGGCGATTGTAGATAGATGCAGATGACTGTAGCTTCCGAGCAGGCATGAACTAATTACACTAACAGCAGCTTTGTGTATGTCCGAGGCGTTTGGTGACCGCATGTGTGCGGCTATCAGCTGTCGCATGTCACACTTCACATCAGTCTTACAAACGTTAATGCCGTGTCGACCTGGTGCGTTTTTAAAGGCACCCAAAAATACAAGCAGCTCCGACCTGCTGTTTTCGCTGCGCCGATTTGTATCAGCTGTCCGCCAGCTGAGCGTGAGTCGCGCTCTCAGTGATGTGCCTGCCATCCATGCTCTAATGAGGGGCGGAGCCATGCAGAGCCAGTGGTGACGTGATGACTGGCGGTTGGTCGGCCGGTGGCGTGTTGTTTGGTGCCGGCCGGCTGTTGTGTTCAGTGTCGGCTGACTGTTGTTGCGTTGTTTGCTACCAGTCGGCTGTTGAAATATTTGTTGCCCGCTGGCCGTTGCCGTGTTGTTTGGTGCCGACCAGCTGTTGACGTGTTTTTGGTGCCGGCAGACTGTTGACATGTTTGGTGCCGGTGGCTGTTGGCGTGTTATTTGGTGCCGGCCGGTTGTTGTCGTGTTGCTTGGCGTGAGTTGCCTGGTGACGTGTTTGTCAGCTGCCTGACCGCGTGCGGTGCGTTTGCTCGGCTCCAGGTGCAGCTGCTGAAGGAGGGTCGGACGGAAGAGGAGCCGGCTCCGTCCCAGAATGGCTCCGACCAGGCCCCGACCCCGGCCTCTCCACCAGCCCCGTCCGCAGAGGCCGACCAGCTCAGAGGTACGGCACGGCCTCTGTAGGCGCCTGAGTCAGCGGAAGCTGGAGTACAGAAACTTGCTAGATGGCCGGCCAAAAGCATTGCTGCGGCCGGACAAACACTACTCATCGCTCGTTTGCCTGGCTGCACCAATCATTGGACACAAACTGAGCAATGCTTCTGTCACCTGCACATTTCACAGCGCGAGAACTCAAAGAACGTGGGCGACGTAGAGAGTCGCCTGGATTTTAAACATTTCTTGGCAGTGGCGAACGGTTGATGTTGCCGATGACTTATCCAATTCAGAAAGCTGGGAAACGTTTGTCGCTGATCGCGGCGTGCCCAGCTCTTACCCTGGCGTGGGCTGTCGGTGGCCCTGATGGCTGCTGCACACAGTTAGTGGGCTTTCTTGGTCCTCTATCGGCCGGACTCGCGGTCAGATCGACTCGGCCCGTGTGCCGATGCCAGCGACCTCTCGTGCGGCACGTGTGTGGTCCGCGCTCTTCCACGCAGGGCTGCCGGACAGGCTGACGCCACCATGACGTCAGCGGATTCGGGGTATGGCTGTGCCCGCTAGCGACGGTGATATTCCAGGGAGTAGGACCTCTGCCCCCACCTATACGCCAATGTAGAATGGCGGCTTCCGTCCTAGGGTGATGGGCGTGCAACTTAATGGCAATTGTAATCCATGACCTGTTGGACAGATATGCTTCGGCGTGATATAACGAAATAATTTTTGTAATTAAATGTTCTGTGAAAAAGTATTGTAACCAATGCCCCAGAGACTTTCTAAAATTGCTGTAATTGCTTCTAGCAGTCCTGGCAAACCTTAACCAAACGTATAGATTGCTGGGCAGATCAGGGTATCTTATGTAAAGTTATACTGCTTAACATTTTCAGTTCTATGTTGACCGATACGGTCGTTAAGGCTACACGGATAGGCCATGCGGCTGCTGTCTGCCGCGGAGATCCCCATAGCCACGGTACACGACCTCCCAGCGACCTCTCCGCGAGCTCTGATCTGTTGTCCTGCGAAGTTGCGGTACTCTTACCCGGTACCCGGTACCTCCGCGAGCTCTGATCTGTTGCCCTGCGAAGTTGCGGTACCCTTACCCGGTACCCGGTACCTCCGCGAGCTCTGATCTGTTGTCCTGCGAAGTTGCGGTACCCTTGGTCTGGAACTTTTCATGAACAACATGTCGCGGGTCATGAAATGACGCTTGTTGTCATTAGTACAGATCAAATATCATCACTGCTACCAATCATCACGTCTTCTTGACAACCATAAGTTAGTGGCCAAGTTCCGTGAACCACTCCAAAAGTGCTGAGCAAAATTGGACCATTAGAACAGACAACATCACAGGCAACGAGCCTAGGCTTGATTACCGAGGGCGGGCTAGCCTTATTGAGTATCCATCGCGACGCTCCCTCAGCTAAAATGCGATTTCACTCCCCCAGTTTGTCATTGCGGTCAACCTTGTTAGATATTCCGATCATCCCTCATGTTCTATACTCATTTGCTGTGTTTGACAGGTCCTCCTAAATGGTCGTGTTTTGTTAAGAAGTGGCGCATTTTACTTTGCGCATTCGTCTTTCAAATACGGTGACTTGCTCTCACACTTCAAACGCCGGATGAACTCGGACGTTTTAATTCCTCTAAGTACACAGTCATCTGTGTGAGACATAACACCGGCTCTGTCCTGTCAGCTCCAGGTCAACGCATGATACCGCTCTCATAGCGCATGTCACAACACTGCTCTAGCTCTCCGGCGCTGGAAATGGAGGCTGGTTGTGCTCACTCTGCCGGAGCTCTTACTCTAAACTTTTGTATACGTGTCCTACACCTGTTCGTGAAATCTAATGCTCAATTTTTACTCTCGGATGTGTCTTATGCTGCTCTTAGTATTTGCGTTCATGTGACGGAAGTTAGTTCTTCGCGGCTTGTTTGTGTTGGGTGTCCAACTGTTTGTGGAAGTTGATTACAATGCCCTTCTCTCAGTCCTCCTCGTTTTCCCACGGATCCCTCGATGCCCTGGCCGGATGGTCGTGCGGGTCTGCTTCGGAGCTCGCCGTCCCGGGTCAGGACCCGCCTCCCTCCCTGCGACCGCGCTGCCGGGCTCCGCCGTGACCGCGCGTATTTGTGACGCGCTCGGGGTATAAATAACCACGGTGAGCGGCGGCGGCGGCGGCGGCGGCGGCGCGGCCGGACTGCCAGCTGGAGCGGGCGGCGCGGCGGCGCGATGGCGGGCATCGGGCGCAGTCTGTTCGTCCTGGGCCTGGCCGACGGCGTGCTCGTGTTCTGGATCCTGGTGCTCTTCTGGTACCGGTACCGCGTGCTGACGGCGCCGCCCGCCGCCGCTGACGACGACGACCTGCTGCTGGGCGAGCTCGAGTGACCGGCGGCGCTGCCGCGGGGTCATGGGCTAGGCGGACCGGCGCCGCGCGCCACGCCACGCTGCGGTACCGCGACTGGCCGCCGACACGTGCGCGGAGGAGCGGGTGCCGAGGACGCGGCGGCGGCCGCCGCCGCTGCTCAGGCGGTGTGCTGGGAACTGGTGGCGTGCGTGGACTAGACCGGCTTGTACTTCGCGGGAAGACGACGGGCCACGTGCTGCGGACATAGTGGTGCGTTTTCGGAGAGTGTGCTGAGGACAAGCGGCTGGTGTGGCTGAGAGGCCCGAGGTAAACAAGGCGCACTGTGACCTCGCGCATGCGTGTTAGTGGCTGCTTGGACGCGTGATCTAAAACATATTTGGTTTGTGTGTGTGAACATTAGCTGGTCTTATGTATTCAGAAAAAAATGTTTTGCTTGACGGACATGAACGGTGCCACCATTTTTTTTTTTGTAGGGCAGCACGAGGTCGTAAAACCGTACATCACGACGCTTAAATTTTTTAATGGGGGCACACTCATGCGTGTAATAGCTGTCGTTTTCTTAGATTATCATTCCTATGTACACTCCTCACATCCCTCATGCGCCTTACGCTGCACGACAGTACAGTATGGGGGCACTGGAACTGGGAGTGGGGGCAAGGACTGAGGCCCGCCGCTTTCTGGGAGTTTAACATTACCCCTGTGACCGTGAGCTGCAAAGATATAATGTAAAATGTTATTATTCCTTCTCTCCCAAACGTGGATGAACGCTCGTTGCATCATGCCGGCGGAAAAGCATGATTACAGTTTCGTAGCTTCTCAGCAATCAGCACATATCTCAGATCATGAATAAGTGTATAAACATTTGCTAGTTCAGTGCCAAAAGCTTTGCATGGCGATATTTCATGATGTTTACCCCGCAGCTATGCTGTGGCTTGGACGCCCAATATCAGAACGTTTTGTTTGAAAACATAATAACAGTAAATCTGACCATTTATTACGGTGGCAATAAAAACCTCCGAACGTCGTTTTGCTTGAGGATCACAGAGTTTCCATACTCCTTCCAGGTGTACATCACTACCGCCTATGGCGCAGCCCTAAGCGCTGCCAAACGTTCTCCATCTTGATGTGCTTTGATGGGCGAAGGCGACTGCGGCATGAGCTGGATCCATTCGATCCAGGCGAAGGCTATGCACGTGACGCACTGCTGCCGCGTTGATCCTGCTCTGCACCGCCATTAAGCGAAGCAGGAGTTGTGAGCTCTGAGCTGGCGGTCGGGATCACAATAAGACAATCACATTTGATGACTTCAGATATGGGTACCCGTGCGTTGCGCCTCGCGTTGCGGGGAATGGACAGCGAGGGAGGGAGGGGGGAGGGGGGGGGACGTACATTTGCCTCCTTGGCAAATGGCAGGAAAGCGGCTGCCCCGTGTCTGTCTGGTGGTGTCGCCCCTCAGCGTCTGCGTCTGCATGTGCAAGTTCTGCTCGACCAGGAACAATAATGTTGTTTGCTCAAAAAGGAGACAGAAAGTATTGTAAGCTCTTCGGGCTACATGAGGGACATGGTGCAATAGGATATGCTTAAAATGGATCATTTAATCATCATCATCATCAACCACTAGTAATTCATCTGAAAACGTATTTGTATCATCAAACGCAAAATGCGTCTTAAATTATATGCTTTCATGCACAGTACGGATTTCAGTACCCATGTCCGACTGGTGGGGGACATTTGTTACCCTTTAAAGATTTTCTAGAGCGCTGTGAAAACAGCGAAGCAACGTAACCGGCATTTTAGGTACCATATCCTCAGGCAAGTAGCTGAAATCTTCGGTGGCAAGTGTCAAAGTGTCAAAGTTTCTTCGAAATCCTGAAAATTTGGAACAAAATCCTGCGAAATTGCCCAATACCTAGTGTAAACCTTTCGGCTCAGGTGTCATGTTTCCGTTGGCCCCATCCTTGACTGCGTCCCAGAATTTCCGTCAATATTGCGCGCAAGCTGTCCGCAATTTTAGCATCATCACAGGTCAGTTCATTGACATTGGCGAGCTCAGTTGACGTGATACCAAAACAACTTTTCATTATTGTCATGTAGTGGACTAATAACTCGTTTCTTAGTTCAATTATGCTATTTGCCACTGGTTTTATTATGTTAAATAAGCTTCGGGAATCGAGAGATATAAATTGCATTACGAATGTCTTATTGACAATGATGCGGAAACCATGGGCACAGTCGCTCAGGGGCGATACCCTGAAGTTGGGTCATGCCAGTCCGCCCAGCCACTGCCGAAATACTCGCTGAAAGCCATCCCGCTACAATTTACAAGGCAAAATAATTCTTAAATATGTAACAAAACCAGAAAAACAATGCAACACATAACGGGACCCTTCTGCATGTTCACTATATTTTTGCATACCTAAGCGAGCTATGAGGGTTCTGATTTTTGACGTTGATGTCTGGCCGACCTCGTCCAGTGCAGTAACCTGATTGGAAATTCAAAATGTTCCCGGTTACAAAAAGGATACATGCACACCATAAGCCACGCCAAAACTTTTCAAAAGACGATCGTTCAGAGATGCGATGCTGTTGGATTAGAATGTGGTTGAAACGGCTAAATTCATCAGTATTGTCCCTCAAATTATGATTCAAAATTGTCGTTTTTGGGGTAGCGATAGGTGAAGAAAGTATCTAATGATCCTATTATGCAAGGGACCTATATACAAAACGTTTTAAGGTGTGCAATGAGCAGAAAAGCTGCACAAAATTGCAGGCCGTGTCCCTTTGCGTTGTAATGTTAGTTATGCATTTTAGTACGTATAATGCAACTTAATATGAGTTTCACCTTTTGCTTCAGACATGTCGGATATCCATAGCTTGTCGGCACATTGTGATTCAATGACCTGCTAATGGGGCTTGGAACTCTAGGTACGGAAGCTATTGAATGTTCTTGGCCAGTATAGGGGAATATTGCTGAGCGGTCGCGTTGAGTCCTACAAACATCGCACTAGTATTTGTAGCAATGTTATTCTATTGATGTGAGGGTAGTTCATCATGGTAAAAATTGGAAATAGGGGCCCCTCATTGAAATGATGTGTAAATAATATATTGACGCCTGCAAGAAAGATGTTAGGATAGAGGGGACTGTCCTGTACAATCTGACCATAGAGGAGACGTCCCCCCCCCCCCCCCCCAACCTCCGGCTGCGCCACCGCTGGACGTGGGTGTCTTGGAGTGAGCTTGAGTTTCTACCGTTTCAATGAAGGGGCTGCTAGGGGGTGGCAAAAATGTCGCACTCTGGTCTTTGTCGTTTCACGACTTCCTCATGGCGCAAAGCATCATACATCGTTTCGACAAGCCTTTAGGAAAAATGCATGCTTTCTCGATCGCAGGCAATGACTGGAGCCACAAGTCGCTTCCTAGACAAATTGATGGTAGTTGAAGTGGGAAAGTAGTCCAGTTAAGTCTTTGGAAAGGCCGTTCTAAATGCAGTTCAAGACGTCTTCATATGTTTCGTAGTTTTTCTGTCAGTGCCTTCGTGGTCCTCTTTAGTATCCCCGTCACCTGATTTTCCACACGCTGATGTTTTGAGCTCCACACTGGCTGGTGCCCACGCGTCCTTCGACCAAGCGATAAGGCAGCCCCCCGTCCCTTACGTAGCGTGACGTGGCTCGTGTTCGGCCTCGAACCTGTCGGCCACCTCACCCGGTCACGGCTGCTGCAACCGTCCCGCCCTTGCGTTGCAGACAAGGTCAAGCATTTGGAGGAGCTGCTGACGAAGTGCAGGGAGAACATCAAGCTCAACAAGTCGCGCACGGCCACCCTGGTGGCGGAGAAGACGCAGCTGCAGACGCTGCTGACGGAGGAGAAGCGCCAGCTGGACGCGACCCAGGTACGCCCGGCCGCCGCCGCCGCCGCTGGTGATGGCGATGTTGACCGGCGACTTGGGGATGCGGTGAAGGCTGGGTCAGACTGCGCCCGCAAGACCGGTGTCGCGGGACCGAGTGGTTCCCCCTCGACCTGGACCTTCGCGGAGGCCGATGGAGTGATGTGTAGTTTGCGCAGATCAGAGCTGCTGGACAGATGAATTTTCCGCATCACGCGCTCGGGTAGAGAAATGCACAGTGAAATCAAGTACTCGAGGCTGCGGATAATCGCAAGCAACTGTGGGTGGGCCCAACCTTTTGGTGGACGAAACTTCAAACGCTTTACTGTGTGGAATTTTTCCAAAAGATGTTTGTGTTACTGGCCTTAGAATAACGCTGTAATTATTGCATTTCAGATATTTGTAGTCCTTTTGGTTAAAAATCCCCACCCCGCCCTTAGATCATCATGGAAGTGTTTTCCTACTGTCCAAACAATTTTAAAGGTCTTCATGGTCCATTCATCTGTAACGCCATGAGGACACTTTGCTGGAGTCCTTTAGGAGGATATTCTGCAGCCTTACTCGACAGATAAGGCACCGGCTCCGGAACTGTTCAGTACTTTACGTTTAGAAGTACTCTGTATTCAGAATCTATAGAAAAGCGAATTTGTGCCAGAATCTTGCCACGTGGATAGGATTTTATACGTTTTTCGCTGGTACCGTCGGCACACTGCGAGAGGTAGCACGGCAAGTAAAGGAAGCCGCGAGAGAAAGAGGTAGCGGATGGAGGCAGCATGACAAGCTCAAAGGTGTATTTCTCTGCACAGCAAATTAGGATACCACTTCCAACACCGCTTCTGCAAGTTTTTTGTGTCGGTAACGACAACGGAATAGCAACTGGAAGCTACAGATTGCGCACTATTCTCCACTGGGACCCGCCGATCCAAATCGAGCTTTTGGCGCGCGGCAGGCATGCTCCGAGTTCCCATTGTGTGGCACCGCGCCACCCTGGCTTCAGTTGTCAGGTAGTGGATAGGAGCCAGACCATGTCCATTCCTGACAGCTGCCCTCTCCCCCCACCCCGCGCCACGGCGCCACGATGGCTTCAGTTGTCAGGGGGTAGATAGGTGCCAGACCATGTCCATTCTCGACAGGTACTCCTGCCCCTCCCCAGCTTAAGCCCATTAAGCTTACCTGCTGCCATGACATCGGGCGGCTTATAACGAGCTCTCCAGAGCCGCATAAGAGGTCTGATCACCCCGGCCACCATGCACGGCATGCTGCGGAGGCCGCGCCGTGGTGTAGGCTACCGGACAGTGGATCGCCGATTCTGGCACCTTCGTGACAGCTGGAACGGGTGGCGGCATGCCCCGTGTCTGGCGCAGGCTCAACACTTGCGCCACCACATTAGATCATGTCAGTTTTTGAGACGCCGTCGCATGAGATGGAGTGACCACAGGTGTTCATGGGATGTGCTGTCAGACTGCAGTCCGTGGATACGGTAAACTGCGTCAAACGTGACGAAGGCGAGTTGTAGAAGCCGATGTGGAAGGGACAGCTTGAGGGCATGAAATTGTGCTTTGAGGTATAATTTCGGTCGCCAGAATGGTATCTGAACATTGATGTAAGATTTTTTAAGGGCTGAATTGTTCGCCTTTAATGACCGTTTTACACCCACTCCGTCTCTATGACGAGGCACATGGAATCATTTTTGGAATGAGGTTGACGTTGGCTCGTTAGCGGTTCGTCAGGGTGCCTTCTCGTCCAAAGTAAACGTATACGATTTCACCAGTTCTGTAGAACTGCGCGTGAGACCGTGACACCATTGCTGCCCACGGTCCGCCGGTGGTTTCAAGAGCAAGACACAGGTGACGCGGCCATTGACGGTTACCCGCGTAAAGACGTCCCCGGGCGCGCGTGCGCACGCATGGGACCCTCGGCCAAGCCAGTGGAAAATGGCCGGTCGGACAGATAACCGCCCAAGCAAAGCCACGATGGCAGCAGCTGTACAGGGGCTGTGGTAAGGAGACTAGTCAGACGCTGATTGGTCAACATCTGGGCACGGGAAAATGCGCAGCAACTGGGCTTGTCATGCGCTCACCACTAGGCAAAACAGGCGCGCGTGGAAAATGAGAAGGAGCTTGTTCACTATCGACTCGACCGTCATGATTGATAAGATCTTGTTCGGATCCGTCTGTTGAAGGAGAGCAAGCAGCGGAAAAATATGACTCCATACCAGCTGATAATCGGCTTTGCGTACGGCAAACGTGTGTGCGGTGTTTTGGGAAGCATCAACCCTGCGTAACTGTAAGCAGTAAGGTCAAGCATCAACTCCGGCATCAACTCCATCACGTCCGTTTGAGAAATGTTGCGCAGGATCTCCGCCGAACCTTTCAAGGACCGTGACAAAGCGTTCGTTCGGGCTGGGACAACGCACGATTCGCCGGGAGAGTACGGCCTCTTGGAACCGCAAGGCATGGAAAGAATCCTTCTGGCCAGTGAAGCCCCAGCCGACTTCTTGTCTCCAAGACTGGAGAAGCTGCTGCGTGGTCGCAGTTCTCCTTGATGGGGGAGCTGTAGGTATCTGCGCACATCGCGCCCGCGCGCCCGCGCGTCCAATCTGACTTCGAGCGATGACACCTGTCACGGAGCGGGTTGGCGAAGTGTGCGGAGATAGGACAAAATGCGCGAAAAGTTTCGTTTTTGTCGTCCTTGGGCTCAGCTGAGACTTTTTGGCTGTGCAGTTTACTAGGCGTTATTCATTGCGGTTTGCCGTAGTATGTTCCCTTGTTGCTGGCAGTGCATGGAAAGCTGTATCACTGAACCGATTCTCGATTGGGTAAGGAGGCCCGCTTCCTGACTCGACCTGAATCGGTTGCGTCTGCTCCGTCATCGCTGGATCGAGGTGTCCGTTGGATTACGGGAAATCAAGGTGTGGAGACAGTGACGGGATGTTTGCGCTGGGAGCGCTGCGCCGCCGAACTTCGTTCTGCTTATGCCGCTGTAGTGTGCGCGGCCGTGGCAGCGTGGTGGTTGTCATTTTGATGGGTGATGCAGTTCCTTCTGTAGGCCCCACGAAAGTGTGACGGTGCATGCATATTTGCATCTGCACATAAGATGTTGGCCAAGATAAAACAGAGCACCAAAATAGTGAATGTTGAGCATGAGCACGCGCAAAGGCAGGCATCCACAGACAACACCGCCCAACGCAGATACCTATAAGGCGGTGGTTTGGGGTTTAGGGGGCATTGGCATCAAGACAATTTTGTGCCTTCAGGATAGCCAGGAGGGAACTGGCAGCTTAGCGAGGAAAGTTAGGGCATTCACCGGCTATCCTGTGCAAAAGAAGCAGCCATATTCCGGGTCTTCGCGCCTGGTATTAAAACCATGCTGTGTCCACTATTTGGCGTGCGCCAAAGCGTCAGCAAACTCATCCACAGTTCTTTCCACGAAGCGTGAGACGATTTACTGAAGCTGTTGAACTCTATAGTTAAACGTGGAAGCACTAAATTGAGCACGCTTGCAGTCCGTGACATGAACGCGGTGTCGAACGTCACATCCGCATTCAAGAGTCTGCAACTCTTCCGAATAACTTCCGTGTGCCTGGCCTGGTCTTCTGTCTGACCTTGGCGTAGCCATCCGTCTGACCATGGCCGGTTTTCTAATGGCCCGGTGACAGATGGTCTATGGATGGCGTGCGCTATCTCCTAGCGGTGTCACGGCGGCTGGGCGGGGCGTGGACAGGGCGGTGGCGCATGCCACCGACGGCCGGACGCCGTCGCCCTGCCAAATCAGGCGGCCCCAAACTGCCGATGGCCAACGTCACCGTCCTCGACGCTTGGCTGGGAGTCCGAGCCTCGGTGGCCGACGTCCGAGGCGAACGCTAGTGCGGGGACGTGTGTCGAGTGACGAGGGCGCGTGGCGGGACGCGCGCGTCGGCGTCAGGGGAGCGGGCGCGGGACCACCGCGGAGGAGTCCGGCCGGCGCCATGGAGGAGCCCGAGGGGGACCCCAGCGGGCCGCGGGGGCCGAGCCCACCCGGGGGTGGAGAACCCGCTGAGACGCCGGCACAGGCCGAGCCAGAGGCCGCGCCCGCCGCCGACTCCGCCGAGCCGGTGCCCAAGAAGAAGAGGGTCGTCAAGAAGGTGGTGGTGCGCAAGAAGAAGGTGCCGGCCAAGGAGGTGCGGCCGGCGACGCCGGAGCCGTCGCGGGCCGAGCCGCCGCCTGCCGACTCACCGCCCGCCGGGCCGCCGCCGCTGGCCGAGCCGCGGCCCTCGGCGCAGCAGGTGACCGAGGAGATCCGGCTGCGCATCCTGGACACGGCCGAGGCGCGTCAGATGCTGGAGCGGGTGCGCAGCGAGCGCGAGGCGGCGCCGCCGGCCGCGCCGCACTACCAGTGCCTGCCGGCGGACTGGCCGCTGCCGGCCCCGTCCGACCACGGCGCCTTGCAGGTACTACGCTACACTTCCAGACGCGACAGCACCAGGGTAATCACGCCGGTCGGCCGGCGCCGCCCGGGTCGGGGCGAGAGGCGCGCTGCGGTGACGCACTACTGCAGGAGACACTTTCGGTCGCTAGTCTGCTCGTCTAGTCTGCTCTAGTCTGCTCTAGTCTGCTTTTGTCTGCTCCTATCTGCTCTAGTCTGTTCAGTTTTATCGTGAATAGTCTGAGATTACTTATGTGGTGTTAAAAGCCGTTTGGTGGCACTACGAGACTTATGAGGATAGTAGACTACACATTTCAGGCAAAGAGGGCAATGCATGAAAGGGCTTTTATGTGTTGCAGATATTCGTCGTTGGGGATGCACTGATTTGCTTGCATCTGCTTTCTCATGTCGACTACACCGCTGGTGGAAAAACTAGGCGAGCCGGCCATAGCAGCGGGTTTCTGGACCCGAGCCTATTTAGAGCAGGAATCTGTAATATTCGTACCACATTTCGTGCCAATAAGCGAAGAAAATGTAATTGGTTTGGCAACTCTTCCTCGCTTTTTGTTTCTTCCATATTTTTTTGAGATCCCTGACGCATTTGACAATACGCGTGGGGCTAATGAGGTTGACTGGCTTTGCGGCGTGAGTTTTGGCTGTGTCGTTGTCATCCAGGATCTATTAATACCCTACAATAGCCCTCATGTGGATTCCCAACCATTTCGACATTCTGAGCAATAAAGAACAGGCGCTGCTGCTAGAGCAACCATGTGCTGAGGTCGCCGCTTTTCCATTCAACTGCGGCTGGTGACCTGAAGTCAATAGGTGCGAATTACACGTATCCATGTTCTGTGGCAGCAGAAGATTGATGAACTTGTTCAACCATCCAGAACTTTGGAATCACTTCTTGGTGAGTGAAAATTCCCTCGCCGTGTGGAATAGGCGTGAAGAGGCTGGCTTCGACTGAGACACATCTTCGCCACACATTCCCTCATCCATCGGGTCGGAACACGCCACAGGATGGGCAGTGTGACCAATGTTCGACCCTTGAGCATGCGCTCGTGTCGTGTCATCGCTGTGTGGCGTATCGCAGGCGTCATTTCGCCCTCATGCCTCTTCCGGGGCCTTTGTATTGTGACTCATGCTATGACGCACTTTTCGTGTTTAAGACTTCTTAACACACGTCGATTTTGGCATTATTTATGTTCTCCAGCTGTGTTCGCACGTAAATTTAGTTGTTGTTTTTTGTAACAGATAACCGGCAGTGTTGACTGGGTAGGATGGTGATGTCCGTTTTCGGAAGGGCTCAGAATGGGCACGTCGATGCGCCCTAAACCTGAAATATCACCATTTTACCTCCCTGACCTGTTGTCCACGTGCTCGCCAAACATCCCGCACCGTCTGTGATCCTTGGCCCTGCTAGGTCCTCACCCGGCTCCATGTGTGTGATGCGATGTATGTCCCCCTGCCGTCCCGATCTGTCTTCCCTGACCTGCTGTCCCTGCGCCGCCGCTCCTGGCCGGCCGCCCGTGACCCTCCGCCATCCCTGACCGTGTGCCGCGGCCACCGCCAGCAGCTCACATCTCTGGCACTGGCGGAACGCCGTGTTTTCGTGGACCGCTGCCAGCAGAAACAAGGCCGACTTGTCGGGCGGTGGGCGGTCGAGTCTCCGCACCGAGCCTCACCCCGGAACTGGCTCAGACGCTCGGCCCGATGATCGCGGCCCACTGTTGCGACGTTGATGCTCGGGCTGGGGTCTCTGTGCTGCACACGGCTGTGGCGTCACCGTTTGTGCGCGGTCCTGTCAGCGGCGGATCTCTGGAATGGTTTGGCAGCGGCCGCGGTAGTTCGGCCGCCGGCCGCTAGTGGCGCTGGTGGCCCGTGCGCGAGTTCTGCCTTTCATGATCGGAGATGAAAGCAGAGGGCCCAAATGGCCTATTCGGCCAGTCTCGATGCCAGGAGCTATTGCTGTAGGCTGAAGCACACGGACCACAGTTGAGGTTTGTGTTGATCGACCGGTTAATGCATAATTGACGCAGAAGGACAGGGTTGGCGAGACCTCGATTCAGTGTACAAAAAAAACGAACAATTCGAGGAAACCAGCGAATGGTCGACAAGGAAGTATTCACGCTTACAAATATTCGCGCCAGTGCATAGACTACCGACCGATGATAGCTATCGCATGGACCCCGTAAACAGAGTCATGAATGCAGAGCTGACTCAGGCCGTCTCCAACTTCATGGGCAGGCTGTCATCACGGCGTTACAGGAAGAATACAAACTCATAATGAGGGACGCTGGTCGTCAGCGCCGATGGGGGGGGGGGGGGGCGCCGCTCTCAGCGCCAGACCCATCGGCAGTCTGTGTGTCAGTGATGCAGCACGGCTGTAGCTCGGGGCGTCTGTGTATCAGTGATCCAGCACGGCTGTAGCTCGGGTCGTCTGTGTGTCAGTGATGCAGCACGGCTGTAGCTCGGGTCGTCCGCCGTCGACAGGAGGCGCACAAGAGCGAGTTGGAGCGGCTGGAGGCGATCGTGGGGGAGCTGCGCCGCACCATGGCCTCCACGCAGCACCAGGCGCAGGAGAACGCCATGAGCACCGCCGAGCAGAAGGCCCAGATGCACCAGGAGCTCGAGCAGAAGGAGACCCAGGTCGGTACTCGGTGCCTTCACAGCTCGGTGCCCGGGACACCGGCATTGGCACACCAGTGCTTCCCCGGCGCGCAGCCTTTACCGATAGCGGGCGGCGCTGAGGCAGCTCGCCTGATTCTCAGCTCGCAAGGTCAGCAGGCAGCTCGCCTGATGATACTTGTGGTCAAAGCATTTAATGCTCAGGCAATTTTTAAACGTCTGCTTAAGTGGGTCGACGATTTTCTGAACTGTCGTCCGCTAAATATAGATGCCACATTTTTGGTAGGATGGCATTTTTGGATACTTGTAAGGCAGGCATGGGAGCAATGAACCCATTTTCATTTTGTCCGAATGTCTTGTCATTCCTAGCTACTTTTGTGAAGCTGTTTAATATGAATCAGTGCTCACCCACATGCATGCGTAGGGTAAGAGTTATGTTTCCCTATGGAACCGACTTCGTAGATCCCATTCTTTCATAGCATCTCCACGGCTTAACAAGTTGTCGTGGGTCTTTGTCAACAAATTGTCTAATCGTGACATTGAAATATAGATATTGGATTGGTGAGTTACGACTGGTTAATTTCACGATTTCTTTTGCCGAGCGTAGGTGGTACAGATGCCCGGGTGATGTTTCTTTGTCCTTTTCCGGATGATCCTGTTTAAATGGCCGGTGAAGTCCCCTGTGACCGCTTAAGCGGCGGGGGGGGGGGGGGGCGTCTGCAGCCACCTCCTCTGTGGTGCTTCGTTTTATGGCCGACCTGAGCTGTACCGCCCAGGCCACGCTGGTTCAGGTGTTCTTAGTGAGCCCGGTGCTAGGTGTGTGCCCCCGCGCCTGAAAACCTTGGTAGAGCTTCAGTGGCATCATATCTTTTGACGCAAGTGATGACTATCGTTTTCAGGTTAAACGCCTACAGGACGAGACAGAATCCAAACGAAAGTCGCTGGAGCAGCTACAAACACGAGGTGAGGAGTAAATACTGTAACGGGGCGCTTGGCGGCGTCAGTTGACAAACACTTCTTTTTAACACGGCTTGTTATATTTTGATGTTGTTTCTGTATATACGTATATATATATATATATAATATAATATAATATAATATAATATTATGCCATGTTGCCCGAGAAATGTATGATTGAAGCATGTATTTTATAAGTTTCATATTTTTCAGCCACGTGACAAAAATAAATGAGTCGGAAGCCAAACTAGTGCTCAGGCGTTCTGTCCGAGCGCTTCGCTCCTGTTTTCAGTTTAGGAGCGGGCACCTGGAACAAAGTTTTCTCAAACGGAGACCTCTGAAGTACGTCTTCTGTCCTAAACATTTGACAAAATGCCCTCATCACCCCCAGGAATGTTCATAACCTCACCAGTGTTGTTCACGTGGTCTCTGCTGGCATCGTCTCGCCCATCCTCCAAATGATGCATCCTGTCGTGGAGTGATAAATAATTCATATCATTTTCGCACACTACACTACATGAGGGCTGACACACGGCCTGTTGGGGGGGGGGGGGGGGGGGGGGGCCGTTGCGCCCACACTGTTTTCCTGGCATCTGATGGTGGGTTAAACATTGCAGTTGCCGCCCTCGAAACTGAAACGACTCAGCTGCGCGACACGCACAAGCGGCAGCTGGAGGAGCTGGAGCGCCTGTCGGAGGAGGAGAAGGCCGGCCTGGTCCAGGTGCGTGACACACGGGCCCGCTGTCGGCGCCACGGCTCCCCGGGTCAAGCCGGGGCACGCGGCTGCGCTGTGTCTTCGTCATACCGTTACTGTCCGCCGCAGCTCCCCGGGTCAAGCCGGGACACGCGGCTGCGCTGTGTCTTCGTCATACCGTTACTGTCCGCCGCAGTTCCCCGGGTCCGGCCGGGGCACGCGGCTGCGCTGTGTCCTCGTCATACCGTGACTGTCCACCGCAGCTCCCCGGGTCAAGCCGGGGCACGCGGCCGCGCTGTGTCTTCGTCATACCGTGACTGTCCGCCGCAGCTCCCCGGGTCAAGCCGGGGCACGCGGCTGCGCTGTGTCCTCGTCATACCGTGACTGTCCACCGCAGCTCCCCGGGTCAAGCCGGGGCACGCGGCTGCGCTGTGTCTTCGTCATGCCGTGACCGTCTGCCACGCAGTCGGACCAGCGGAATGTTTGTTTCGGCGGAGCGCGCCAAATGCAGGCGGCTGTGGGTCTGGCACGGGCCGCCCTGACCAGAGCCGCCACCGTGTTGTCAGGACAAACTCCGGCCTGCCTGTGCCGGCAGCTGTCCGTGCTGCGGGGACAGGGGACCTGTGGTGTCGCGTCCCAGCCCTCGTCTCGCCGCCATTCTGGCCGGATCGAAGCCACTTGTTGGCCGCCGGCCACGCGCCGCCTAAAATTAGCGGAGAGGCTGCCGTCCGAGGCCGCCGGGATCGAGTCACCGTCCCCCCCCCCCCCCCCTGTGTCCGGCGTCCCTGACCGCCCCCGGTCTGAGCCGGGGACAGGAACGCGACTCTGGGAGCACGACCATGCGACAGCGGGAAATCTGGCTGGAGCGAATCATGACTGGGTCACGATGCCCCATGTGTACGACGTTGCTCGGTGGCGTGGGCTGTGACCAGCTCCGGTAAAAGTGTTCGGTGGCGTTGCTTCATCAGCGCAGGTCCTGGTCACAACGCCACAGTGTCGTGAGATCGACTCTAGGCACGCCTGTGTCTGGACGGCGTAACAACTCGTCGTGACCGATGACTGGACTCAACATGCACGCGACGTACGACTGAAATTGTGGCCGTCTTTCATCTATTTTGCCTTCGCATTGCGCTAGCCTCACTTCTGTGTTGCCATTCGGTACGCGCGCGCAGCCGTGCTGTTCCCCTGCGGAAAGGGCGTACAACCACTCCCATATGTGTGCTGTAATTCTTTACTGGAATACCATTAATCGTGCTTCAAGCTGGCCTGTAAGTGCAGTTGTGATGGCTAACGCGACCTCAGACATATCAGAAGTGTCTCGAAGTGACCACTTGTCCGCCGCAGGAGCTGTCACGCGCGAAGCAAGAGGCGCTGCGCGTGCTGGAGCAGGAGCTGGAGTCGCGGCTGGCCGAGGAGTGGGGCCGCCGGCTGCACCTGCGCGAGGAGGAGCTGCGCGCCGAGATTCGCGAGAAGGAGAGCCAGCTGGAGCTGGCGGCCGAGGAGCAGCAGCTGGCGGCCAGCGCCGCCGCCGCCGGCGGACACCAGACGGCCCAGCGGGCGGAGCTCATAGTACGTGAGCCGCGGGGATGTCGGCCGATGCACGGCCGGAGGGAAGCGGAGGGGCGTGTCTGTCAGCTGGCCACGCGTCGTGGCGGTGGTGGTAGCGCGCGTGAAACGTCACACCACACGGAGGGCCAAGCTCAGCGTGTCTGGGTGCGTGGGGCGGCGTAGTGGGGACTTGTGGCGGCGCCCAAAGGAGCGCACCGTTCTTGACGCATTGCCTGTCCGTTGCAGGCCGGGGCCGGGAGCTTTGGTTAGAGTCGCTGTCCTTCGTTGCAGGACACCATCGACGGTCTGCGCACCGACCAGATGGCGCTGGAGTCGCGGCTGCAGGGCTGCCAGCAGGCGCAGGCGCAGGCCGAGGCCCGACTGGAGCAGGCGCAGGTGCAGATGGAGGAGGCTCGGAAGGAGGCCGAGGCTCGGATTGAAGAGGCTCGGAAGAAGGTCGAGGCTCGGATGGAAGAGGCTCGGAAAGAGGCCGAGGCTCAGGTGGAGGAGGCCCGAAAGGAGGTCGAGGCTCGTGTGGAGGGGGCTCGCAGCTCGGCTCTGGAGGAGGCTCGGAAGGAGGCTGAGGCTCGGGTGGAAGAGGCTCGGAAAGAGGCCGAGGCTCAGGTGGAGGAGGCTCGGAAGGGAGTCGAGACGCGACTTGAAGAGGCTCGGGTGGGGGAGGCTCGCAGCTCGGCTCTGGAGGAGGCACGGAAGGAGGCTGAGGCTCGCATGGAAGAGGCGCGGAAGGAGGCTGAGGCTCGGGTGCAAGAGGCGCGAAAGGAGGCCGACGCCCGGGTGGAGGAGTTGGACCGGCAGCGGCAGGCGGCTGTGGAGGAGTTGGACCGGCAGCGCCAGGCAGCTGTGGAGCTGTCGCTCCAGACTTCCAGCCAGGAGAACAGGTGACCGGCATGCGTGGCCATGTCCGCTACAGCTGAGGGGTTAGGGGTGGACGGGGGAGGGGGTGGCGTGCATTGGGATGTGGCGCCCTGTTCCCCACTGCTCTTCATGGTGGGAATGGATAGGAACAATCGTATCCCAATTGTTACTCGTCACGGAGCCCCGATGAACCACGTCCTGAGATGTTGGAACGATATTGGATGGAAGCTCTCGTTATTCACATATCTTGTAGCGAGACTCGGTAACGTAAAGTATTCCATGTCTCTTGTGCGTTAAGAAATCAGTTATTGGAGCAACTAGTATCACGAGTGTCTGTGCCGTAATGTTGACACATTCCGTACGTACCAGGCCTGTCCCCACTGACCAGTGCCCTGCGCCGCCAGTGCCAGGCTGGAATCTCAGGCGCAGGCGGACGAGCTGCAGCGCCGTCTGACCAGCCTGAGCGAGGAGCAGGCTGCCACGCTGGCCGAGCTGGAGGCGGAGCGCGGCCGCGGCGCCGCTGACCGCCAGGAGCGCCAGCAGCTGCAGCTGCGCACCGAGAAGCTGTCGGGCGTGGTGCGCTCGCTCGAGGAGAGCCTGCGCGAGCTGACTGAGCAGTGTGGCCGCGACGCAGAGGTCCGCGCCGCCGCCGCCGCCGCCACGGCCGCTACGCCCGCCGCGCCCGCTGGCAGCCAGCTGGATGAGCTGACCACGCTGCTGGACGACAACGCGGCGCGGCTGGCCGGCGTCACTGAGGAGGTGGGCGCGCTGCGGCTGGCCAAGCAGCAGCTGGAGGAGAAGGTGGCGGCGCTGTCGGCGGACGCCGACGGCCGGCTGGCGGCCGCCGACGCGGCGCGCGCCGCCTCCGAGCAGGCGCTGGCGGCGCGCGAGGCGGAGCTGGCGGCGCTGCAGCAGCGGGCCGAGCAGGCCGAGGCGGACGTCGGGCGGCTGCGCGCCGAGGCGGCGGCGCTGGCCGAGGAGAAGGACGGCGCCCGCGGCGAAGCTGAGGCGCTGCGCACGGCGCGCACGGACCTGGACGACGCACTGCGCACGGCGCGCAGCGAGCTCGAGTCGACGGTAAGCGACATCAGCGACTTTGACGAGGTGTCCGAGGGTTACAGGACCGAGGTGCGCCGGCTGACGGCCGAGCTGGAGCGGCTGCAGGCGCAGCTGCACCAGGCGCAGGCTGAGCGCCAGCGCGCCGATGAGCTGCACGAGTCCAACGAGAGGCTGGCGGCACGCCTCTTCCAGATGGAGAAGATCGCGCTGCGCGTCGAGCTGGCGGAGAACGAGAACGAAAACCTGAAGAGCGAGCTGGCGTACGAGCGCGAGCGCGGCAAGAAGCAGCGCGACCGTGTCAAGCAGCTCAAGAGCTTGCACGAGGTGACCAAGGACGAGGTGAGCGGTATGCAGGCCGACTTCAGTCTCGTGCACGATGAGATGGGCAAGATCCGCGCCACGCTGACGGCGCGGCTGGAGCGCGTGCAGGAGCAGAACCGCTCGCTGGAGCTTCTACAGTCCAAGCTGGATCAGGCGATGCGCGAAAAGAGCGCGCTCAAGGAGCAGCTGGAGAGCGGCATCGAGCGCAAAGAGCGTGAGCAGGCGCAGATGCTACAGGCGCTGGACAAGCTGGGAAACGAGATCGAGACGTACAAGACGGAGTGTCGCGGCCTGGGGGGCGGCGGCCCACTGGCGGAGGCGGGCGCCGCGGACGGCGCAGGGGACGCGGTCGACGGCGTCGACACATCGTCACCGGAGGGCAGCGAGGCCGGCGAGGACCAGGTGGTGGCGCTGCGCCAGGAGGTGGGCGGCTTGCAGAAGGTGTCGGAGACGTACCGCCTTCAGATGGCCGGCCTTCAGGCCGAGGTGGAGGAGGCGGCGCGACAGCGTCAGCTGCTCGAGCTGGAGAAGAAGTGCCTGCAGGACCGGCTGCAGCAGCAGCTGCGCGACAAGGAAGACGTGTCGCTCAAGATGGACGCGCTATGTTCCGACACGAACTCAGTGCTCGTGCAGCTGCGCGAGGAGAACGGCCAGCTGCGGGCGCGCGCCGAGGCCGAGCAGGCGCGCAGTGCACAGCTGGCTGCCCAGCTGGCGGAGGTCGAGCGCGACCATAAGCAGGTGAGCCGCCAGATCGAGGACGCCGGCCTGGAGAAGGACACGCTGGCGACGCGCATCGCCCTGTTCAAGACCCAGCTGAAGGAGCAGGCCGAACTGATCGACTGCTACAAGTACGAGGTGGGGACGCTGAAGCAGAACTACGACAACCTCGACTCGGAGGTGAAGCGGCAGGAGGAGCTGGCGACCTCGCTGCGAGCCATCAACGAGGAGATCGATAGGAAGTTGAGCGCCGAAAAAGAGCTTAAAAAAAACTTCGAGGACAAACTCAGTCAGAAGCTGACAGAAATGGCGCAGCTTCAAGCTAGTCATGACGCGCTCAGGGGTAAGAATGCGTGCTTAGAGGAGCAGTTAGCGAGTGCGAGTGTTGAGTCTGAAGTCCCTCCCTTAGTTAAAGTGCTGCGGGGGGAGAAGGAGGCGTTGTCAAGCCAGCTGGAGGGCTGTGAGGAGCGGTGGCGGGCCGCGTCTGCCGAGCTGCTGCTCCAGCAGACGCGTCTGCACGAGTCAGAGCGGCAGAACGCTGACTGCCAGCGTCAGGTGGAGTCCGTGACGCAGCTGAAGGAGGTGCTGGAGACACGCTGCTCGGAGGCGGAGCAGGAGGCGGCTGCGCTGAAGAAGAAGCTGGAGGAGGCCCACGTGGAGATGATTCATCTCAAGGCGCTGCAGAGCGCGTCCGAGGACAGGGTGGAGAAGCTGACGCAGGACGTTCTGAACCAGGCATCTGGGCTGGCGCTGCAGGACGAGGTAATCGTGGAGAAAGGCAGGGAGCTGACCGAGCTCACTGTCAAGTCTCTGGACCAGGCTGCTGAGAACGCCGGTGTTCGCGGCTCGCCGCCCCTGCAGGGCGTCCAGGCGGAGACGCAGACAGAGACACAGGCTGAACCGCAAAGCCAGACGGAGACGCCGCTGGCGCCGCTCGCCGCCGAGGGGCGGCCGCGGGAGCCGGAGACCCAGGGAGGCGGCGGCCGGGCGGATGCCGAGCCGGACCCCCAGCAGGAGCTGGCCGGCCTGCGGCGCTCGGTCCACCTGCTGGAGCTGGAGCGCAGCCGACTGAACGCCGAGTTCGAGGCGCTGCAGCTGGTGTACGAGAATACGTCCATGACGCTGGAGGCCAGCTCTGAGCGGCTCAAGCGCGCGGAGGACGACCGGGCGCACCTGCGCCGCGTGGTGGACAACCAGCGCGACGAGCTGGCTGGCAAGAGCGAGGAGTTCGAGGAGCGGCTGCAGGAGTACCTGCGCGAGATCACCAACAAGAACGAGGAGATCACCGTCTTCCTGACCGAGCTGAAGCAGAACCAGGACGAGATGGACGACGCCAAGGCGAGCGTCGGCCAGCTGCAGGACATCATCCGCACCAAGGAGAGCACGCTGCGCACGCTCAGCGCCGAGCTGGCCACCGCCAAGAGTCGGGCGCAGACGCAGAACGAGCGCTTCCTGGCGCGCGAGGCCGAGCTCACGCGCAAGCTGCAGGAGGAGAAGGAGATGTTCATCAGCCAGCTGACGGAGGTGCGCGAGACGATGCGCTCCTCCATCGGCACCATGCAGGCCAAGATCCAGCAGCTGAACGAGCTGCTCAAGAGCCAGGATCTGAAGCACCACGTGGAGCTGAGCCGCGTGCGCTGCGAGTACGAGCAGCAGCTGGACGAGCTGCAGCAGGCGCTGGCGGGCGTGCGCAGCCAGTGCGAGCTGGCCATCGACGAGCTGATCTCATCGCACCGGAGCCAGCTGGACGAGCTGGCCGGCCGGCTGGAGGAGACGCGGCGCGAGCTGGAGCAGCTGGCCGGCCGCCGCCAGCAGGACTGGGACGCGGCGCAGGCCGAGGCGCTCCAGCGGCTGGCCGCCGTTACCGGCGAGCACCAGCAGGCCGTGACGCGCCTGCAGGCGGACCACGAGGCGCGCGTGCTGCGCCTGCGACAGGCGTACGAGCAGCGCGTACAGCAGCTGAGCAGCCGGACGGAGGGAGGGCCGCGCGAGCTATCAGCGCAGCCTGGCGTCGGCCGAGCACCGGCTGCTGGCGCTGGAGGCCGAGCTGGAGGAGGCGCGCCAGACGCACCAGCGCAGCGAGCGCGCCCTGGCCGAGGAGCACCGCGAGGAGCTGGCGGCGCTGGTGCGCAGCCAGAGCTACCGGGCCGATTCGACGCCCGAGGTCAGTGGCCGGGTCGAGCCAGGCCGCCGCCGGCGAGCTGGACTAACTGCACGGACGGCGCACCTGCCGACTGCCGCCGCCGCCCGCCGCCGCTGCGGCCGTCCTGCATCGGCGGTCGGCGCGCTACTCCACCTCTGGAAGCGGAACGGAGTTTAGCTAGTGATGCACCGCCGCCACGGCTGCTGTGTGGAGTTTAGACATTGCCACTGCACCAGTCTGGTTGCAGTGGAGTGTGGAGGCTGCTCCTGTCCCGCTCGTCAGCAGCAACTGAGTGACGTCCAACCAGCAGTGTGACCTCAACAGCGTCACGCGGAACGTGACCCGAGCGGCACCTGCCCGAGGAGTGTAACCCCGAGTTGAAGTCAACCCAACCGAGTGTGGCCCTTGTAGAATCGATCCACCGAATGTAGCCCTGACAATATCTGCCGACGTAGTGCTGCCCTAGATTACCAACTCACCGTGTGTTACTAACGACATCGTCTCGTCGAATGTGACAGCTGTAGAGAAGCGACTGGGAGGTCTCCAGAGGAATGGAAGTGTGTTGGATCTGTCCGTTTGAGCTTTGTTGACGTTTGTGTGCACTAACCGCCGTGTTGACGGATCTCATGACTGATGGGCCTTGTGGTTTGTATGCGGAGACGTCAGGAGATGCCCTGCGCGCCTGATAACTATGCTGGCTATGCCCTCTGTCCCGTTATCATGCAGTCTTTGGCGCTGATTTTGAAACTAGTCTGCAGTTTATTTTGTTGGAGCAGAGAGTTGCAGTGGCATTGTGGATGGTTCACTGCTTTGGCACCAAAGGACACTCACTGGCATACTCAAACTCTGGACGTCATGTTTCATTTATCGGGCAAGCCACTTTTGAAGCAGTACGTTCTTCTCCTGTATTTAATGTTTTGTTCGTTACCATCTAAACTATAAGCTCACCAACAATGCACTTTGTTGACTTCGTCCACTGCTGGTGTACTGACGCCGTGCCGTGCTGTGCCCGCCCAGCAGAGGGAGGAGTGCCTAGAGAAGTCGACGAGATCCGGCGACTGGAGGCGTCGGCCGCCGCGCTGCACGCGCGAGTTGGCCGCGCCGAGGAGGCCCGACGGCCAGCGGCAGGCGCAGCTGGCTGATCTCCAGGACGCTGCCGATCAGCTGCAGACCAGGTTAGTGGAGGCGGAGCGCGGCGCCAGCCTGCTGCGCGCGAAAGCGGACGTGCAGGCCGAGCGGGCGCGCCAGCTGGCCGCCGCCCTGGAGACGGCCGAGGAGGCGGCGCGACAAGGCGGAACGAGCGGCTGGCAGAAGAGCAGAGCCGGGCAGAGCAGCTCCGGGGAACGCTGGAGGAGGCACAGAAGGACACGGAGGGCCTCGGAGCTAAGCTGGAGGAAAGACAGCAGGACACGGAGGGGCTCCGAACCAAACTGGAGGAGGGCCAGAAAGAAACGGAGGGGCTCCGAGCCAAACTGGAGGAGGGGCAGAAAGAAACAGAGGGGCTCCGAGCCAAACTGGAGGAGGGGCAGAAAGAAACGGAGGGGCTCCGAGCCAAACTGGAGGAGGGGCAGAAAGAAACGGAAGGACTCCAAGCTAAACTGGAGGAGGGGCAGAAAGAAACGGAGGGGCTCCGAGCCAAACTGGAGGAGGGGCAGAAAGAAACGGAGGGGCTCCGAGCCAAACTGGAGGAGAGGCAGAAAGAAACGGAAGGGCTCCGAGCCAAACTGGAGGAGGGACAGAAAGAAACGGAGGGACTCCGAGCCAAACTGGATGAGGGGCAGAAAGAAACGGAGGGACTCAGAGCCAAACTGGATGAGGGGCAGAAAGAAACGGAGGGGCTCCGAGCCAAACTGGAGGAGGGGCAGAACGAAACGGAAGGGCTCCGAGCCAAACTGGAGGAGGGGCAGAACGAAACGGAAGGGCTCCGAGCCAAACTGGAGGAGGGACAGAAAGAAACGGAGGGGCTCCGAGCCAAACTGGAGGAGGGGCAGAAAGAAACGGAGGGACTCCAAGCTAAACTGGAGGAGGGGCAGAAAGAAACGGAGGGACTCCGAGCCAAACTGGAGGAGGGGCAGAAAGAAACGGAGGGGCTCCGAGCCAAACTGGAGGAGGGACAACAAGAAACGGAGGGGCTCCGAGCTAAACTGGAGAATAGCCAACAGGAGGTGGAGGGTCTTCGATCCAAACTGGAGGAGGGGCAGCAGGAGGTGGCGAAGGCCGGAGGCAAACTGGAGGGGGCGCAACAGACGATGGAGGAACTCCGAAAGAAATTGGAGCAGGAAC